ACGCTATAAGCAGGCCCAAAAGGAGATGGCGGGACGAATTGGACATGTATGACAAGGATTGGCCGCAAAATATTTACATAGAGAGGAGTGGAAGGAACCCTCCTTCCGGGAGGGAGGCATTTCTATATTTCTTTAACCGTCCATCATGTCTTAGCACCTACTTGTTAATTCTACTAGACTTTCTTAAAAAAAGTTTTTTAAACAATATCTTTGTCCATATTCCAGGACATAAAGCTAAACGACTACAAGATGCGCCTGCTGTCGCTGGGCCACCCCGTGGAGGACGACGTGGCGGCGGACCACTCGTGATGTCTGCGCCCGCGCCCCACTAGCGCGAGCGGACCCTCGTACCGTGAGAGGACTGCGGAGACAGTTGACTTAGCTAAAAAGGAACATTATTTGTATAATAACTATCGTGAGACATACTAATTTAGTTAAAAAACCGATTTAATTACTTAAATATTGAGAAAAGCTCTACTAGTTTCGAATCACAGAGGAACTCTTCCTCATGAGCAGCAACGAAACTTTTAGAGCTTTTCTTAATATTTACGCGAGTAAAACTGTAATTTTAATTAAAAAGAAGCATTATCTAAGACTACACACTACTGCCTCTATATAATTATACTTCTAATTACGATTTCTAGGACTCGATTTTCGAGTCGTACAAAATTATATAGAACTAGCTAGTTAGTATATTTACATAGTATGTCACTACTGACTACTGATTATAAGCCCATATTTTGTACAACTCAAAGATTTTGTCGATGATAATATTGATATCATGACAATATATATGATTTGTTCCTTTGGCTGTATATAAAATATGTATTCGATCTATATTTATCTTTATTTCTTCTAAAATAATATTTTCTATAAGAAACTCTATGTATATCATGTCTATTCTTGTCAATGTTATGTATCTTATTTATTCTTTGAATTTACTTTTAATTATAGTTACAATGTGAACCATTTTATTTAAACTTTATGCACACTTCTTTATTGTTATTGCTTCAAAAGAAACAAATATCTATAGACCATAACAATTATAGTTTTTTTGTAAATTTATATTTAGGTAGACATACTAGATCGATTTCGACATTAGTCAAGTCTGAATTTATCGAAAAATTCTAGCGTTTAATAAGTCGTGGTAACTTACTACTTAATGCTTACTGTAGTCGATTCATCAGTCCAGTCATCAGAGTGTAGTCAATTTAATCAGAGGTATCTGGTTGCCTGGACGTAATACAGAATATAGTTACTGCTACGAGGTTTCACTGACTCAGCTTCTTTTGACCGTAGCGTGATGTTTTATGGTATGGACTATCCGACATAAAAAATAATCATTTCATTCGAACTAGTAGTTTCAGAGAAGTAGGTATGTACTTATATAGTTTGTCTCTGGACAATGGTGCCTACAAAGTGCAATGTTACAATGCATGTTCAAAGCTTTCCTTAGCATCAAGCTGGTTTAGAAGCCACCTCACTCGTGCATTACAGAATATAAGAGTATTTATAATATATGTCAGTAATATATTTCGATATTGTTAAGATATTGTGATTTGAATGTAAAAATGTATGAAATATAAAGTTATGATGCGTTTTGTTCACGACTTGCTTTTAATTTTCCCTTATGAGATAATATTATCCTCTTCACTTGTGTACCTACACAATAAACAAAATAACTATACCAACGAATGTGTGAAGGTATACGTACATCATACATAGGTACATCAACAGCCTATAAATGCCTACTGCTGAGCATTATTTTTTCTCATACGGAGGTTTGAGCATTAATCACCACGCTTGCTCAATGCGGGTTGGCGATTTTAAACTTGTAATTAGAAATTTTAAGCCCAGGTTTCCTCACGATGTTTTCTTTTACAGTTTGTCAGCGGTGTCTAAATCTTAGAAAGTACATACATATACCTCGGAAGCAGTCACGTCGTACTTGCCATTGGTATGTTTCAAACCCGCACCCTCATGCATGAGAAGCGGGCGTCTTAAACTTTCGGGCCACCACGATACACACACATTGGTAAATGTGGTAGAAAATAACGATTTGAATCTTTCTAGATGTCTCTGCTTACTCCGGTGGAAGTCCTGTCGTAATAGAGGTGTGGAAGGTATGGGTCAAAGAGTATAATAAGTATAGGAGAGGACTGCAGTCTCTCTAGTACCTAACCATACAACAATGTAATAGTATAAGTTTTATTTCACGTATGGTGGTGCTACATAGTACAAAACAAAGTCGCTATCCGCAGTCTGTCTGTCCCTATGTATGCTTAAATCTATAAAACGATGTCTTTTTTAATAGATAGTGATTCTTAAGGAAGGTTTATATGTATAATACATGCATATTGCACCCGTGCGAAGCCGGGGCGGGTCGCTAGTTATCTGTATTAAAAAGAAACAAAAACATTGTTGATTAAAACATTTAATATACTTCATAACTCACTTTAAGATATGCTTACACAATAAATAATTGTCTATCTACATTATTATACTATTAACAGTCTCATTTACATGACGAAACAATAACAGAATTCATGTGAGAATCTTAGCAGGAAAACATTGTGTATTTCTTATGTTTTAAAATTGTCATTATACAGGGTAACGAACAGTGGCCTTTGTTATTAGATGTTTAAAAACAATTACTAATGTTATACAGAAATAACTGCAAAATAAATATGAATGATCAGGATCAGATGAAATAATTTGGATTCATCATGATTAACACAAAATTAAAAAACATAACTAATTTTAAATACATAAAAGACAAATCTTTATTTTATAAGCACGCCGCTTTTTGGTTAATAGCTAATTTGTCGTTTTCAATCAAATATACAAAATGTTACAGCATGTAGCGTAAAGTTATGGCCATATTTTTAAAACAATAAATATTAATTAATATGACAAGGACAGGAAATTTTCCATCTTGGAACTAATAAACCCACGGAATATAGAATACAATGGAAGTAGCAAGTAGGCGTGGCACGCGTGCCACAGCTAAGCTGTGTACTGCTTACTCGAGACAAAATTTGAGTTCAGTCTCGTTCGAACATGGCGTCGAGTTGCTAGTCTCGTGTCAAATACATATTTCCTCAACTATGCCGTTTTGTTCCGTTTTGGCGTGTAAAAATGATAGCAGCCGAAAAATCGTAAAAATGGAGGTGTTTCGTATCATCGGTAAGTACAATTTTTATTGTTTTCTTGTAGAAATCTTATTTTATTTCAATTTACAAAAACAGTTATTAAAATAATATTATTTACTAAAACTGTTAGTCAAAATCAACCTTACGCCTTCAAGATAAAGTTTATTTTGGATTTATTCCATTCAATAGAACATTCTCGCCAGTTCTACGCTACTCAAATAGTTATGTAGTCAAATCACATATTGAATTTATCGATTGATATCGATGCAAGTGTAATGTAACATTTATTTAGATTATTTTTTTATTATTATTTTAGTGGTGACCCCGACGTGATTGGAAGCAACCTTCACTTCACGGAGCAGATCAGCACCGTCATCCTTATCGCCATCCCTCTCATTTATCACATTATCCATATAAAGTTTGTAAAAATTTATGTAATAGTTGTTACTTATATTGCCTATGTGAAATAAAAAAAATGATTTTTTGAAAAAAGAAACTAATAAAAAATACGAACAAAATGGTTTTTGATTTACATGTAAATAAATACTTACCCTTTTTTGTTACGTTTAAAAAGTTATCAACGACATATTAATTTTATTATTTTAATACTGTCACACTATAGCAGTCAATATTTTTTTTCATATTATTTTTAAAACACATTTTCATATTATCGATATTATTTTTATCGAATTATCCTACATCACTATCTGAGTAGAGACCCGCATTCGAGCCAGTGATAAGCCATTCAAATATCACCTTTATTCTTACAACGTTAAAGTTCAAACCAAGTACCACTTTTCGTCGCTAGATGGCATTGTTAAACGCCATCTAGCGACGAATGGCGGTACTTGGTAGTCCAAAACATACTTTTTTATTTTGATTTATAGTACATTGGTTTTAAAGTTGCATATCGTATGATATTTTTTTTGCATTTCGTTTACGCCCATTTTTTTTCTAACCAATCGTAATTTCCGATTTATAGTATGAGTAAATTATAAATGTATTAGTTTGGCGACACCGGTTCTGGCAGAAATATTGTTTCAAGCTACTTCCATTGTATTCTATATTCCGTGAATAAACCCACTAATGAATATAGACATCCATGTATAATTTCAAAGATTATTTACATGAATAGTTTTTTTACATGTAGGGGAATGTATTTAGTGCAGAAACAACCTCAATTACTTAATACTAAAATTAACCTACACAAGAGAAGCAATATAAATATAATATACATTGTTTTACAAACATATACAGTCCGCTTCAAACTTTATAACGGTACTTGCGCAAAATGCGCTTCCGATGCGCAACAACTTTAAAGGTGACTGCTATTTTCATAAGGGCAGATGAAATCAAGCAATAGAACTGTTATATTTCACGTAGCATATAGGTAAATAAGAATACATTAATATTATTTACAAGTAAATTTGAACATTATGAATGATACTTTAGCATTATGGTGATATGAATCAGAGATATTTAATGAATATTTGATAAATGTTTTTGCAGTTTATTATTTTTATACTACATATTTGTATTAAACTTTTTTCTTTTCTTTGTTGATAGACATTTGTTTTAAGCTCAAAGCCTAAAGCAAGATCTTTCATCATCATATCAGCCTCCAAACGTCCACTGCTGAACATAGGCCTCCCCCAATGAAGCAAGATCTTAATAATATTAATAATATGAAGTTTTTTATAGAAGGTAAAATCGTATTGCAATATATCAAGTTTAAAGTTTCAACAGTAATGGTTATACCTTTCGTGAGACATACTAAATTAATTATGGCTGACTCACGTAACTATTTAACGAGGAACTCGACTAGTTTCAAGCCATCCTAGAGGCACAGTCGAGTTCCTCGTCAAACAATTTGACTCTTGAAAAACATAATAACTAATTAAGTTATATTTGAAAATGAATAACTCTGTGTAATAACTAATTAAACTCAACGATATTTTTACATGAGACTCGACCACAATGATCTTATAAATAAGTACTTAACATTATAAATATTTTATCTGCGGGTTAATACATAATCTCTCTGGATTCTAACCTTGAGTTTGTAATATTTTATGTAATTCTAATTGCTCTTAAAGCAAGTTTAACAATGATGTGCAATATTTAAGGTATACACTGTGTACTGGTTATGTTTGTTTGTAGATAACGATTTGTCATTTATTTTAACTTAGCTCAAGTGCTTTTGCTTGTCGCCTGAAGTTCCAGTTTCATTTTATCAAAATGGGGTAGTGCGACAAATGTGCTTACTGACTCAACACCTGATGGTAAGAAATCGGCGCCACTCAAGATTTACAAGTGTGTTGCCGGGCTTATATTTTTGCAGTAATCATTTTAGAACATTTTAATTTATGTACCATTACTAAAGTAACATTTATGTTGACTACTAAACACCACAGTGCGCCTCAAAGATCACACCAATAACATAAAACCGTGTTTACATCTAAACAAACCGTATCTATCCGTGATCAAGTATCCAGTAACATGGAGAGCGCAGGCAGCGCTCCCTGGCAGCTACGTGACGTAGAAGTAGACTCCAACACATAGGAGCACTCCTAACACGAGGAACACCATGATGAGGATGAACCGGTCTTGAAGAGCTCGCATCACCATCGTGTTCATGAGACGAGAGGATCTGTTCAGCTGCTCGTCTGTCTCACGGAGCTGGAAGAGTTGGAATGAGTTTTATAATTCGTTGTTTAAATAATAATTATGGTTCTTGTTTATGTACTTGTGTAAACAGATTATACGGTTGCGCAGTATCTGTGCAATCTGATGCGCAACGTGTCGACGGTTCGATTCAAAATCAAAGTCAAAGAGTTTATTGCAACTAAGTGTACAGATGATGGTACATAATTATTATAGTGCTTCCCGCTCGGAGCACCTCTGAGTGATGCACAAATTATTGTTAAAGGTCTGTGTGTGCAAAATGCATTTGTGTGTAAGAAATGCACCCATAAAAAATCTTAATGGAATGCTTAGTTTAAAAAGAGTTTAAAAGTAAGTAAAATATTACAACAGGCAAAAATGAAGTATTACTACACTCGCAATTCCCAAGACCAGATTGTTTCTGACAGTGACAATGAAAAATTATTTTACGTAGAGTGGATGCTTACCCTTCCCCTCGACCTCTGTATAGTCTCCCTTTGTACACTGAGATCTTGCAGTACGGCGGCTCCAATCTGCTCGGTCTCCAGCACCACACGGTAGCCCTCCGTCAGGGTCTTACCGGTGCGCTCCAGTCGCTCCGTATTGTCCAGCAACTTCCGGTGCTGTTCGTTCGCTCCACTCCAGTCATCAAACACTTCATCATTCTCGTAGTTGTCTGGTGATATTAGGTCAAGAGTAAGATATCAAAATGTATGTTTTGGTAATGGTCGAGCCATTTTTCAAGCATTTTTCACTAAAAAATCAAAGTTGTGATGCTATTGCACTGCATCCATTGTTTACTGAGCTGATAATAGTTTTAGGGTTAACAAATCCCCATAACATAACACAACATTACGACGTTTGTCCCCTGCGGTAGGCAGAGGTGCATATTACGTTACTTAATGCCACTGTAAAATGTAACACCCACTTTTGACTATTAATGTTGTGGGGTGAAGCCTATTGTCATGTATTAACCACACACACCCGAATTTTTCTTAAAAAACCCAGAAATACTTTGCCTGACCCGGGCATCAAACCCGAGACCTCTGGCTCAGCAGTCACACATGAGACCACTCATCCAATGAGGCAGTCAATAATAGATCCTCTTTTGTTTTAATTTTTTGTATCATGGTTAATGTAAAACAAATAAATCCAGACATAGACTTTTCAGAATACTTACAGGAGCCAGTATTAAGTACAGATCGATATTCATCTCTGACACGCTGCAGCTCTGCTCGGTAGGCTGCCACACGGGACCCTGCTCCTGCTCCACGAGATTCCAGCTCTAGCTGTTCCAACTGTAACATAAGTTATATTATTAAGACCATGACCACATAACAAATTAATATCAACATAGACATAAAAAGGTCTCTTCATTACTGAGTGATTGATAGATGATGCACAGCCAAAATTACTAGACCTATTATGAAACTGAGCTTATACATTGCGACAGGTCTAAAAGAGAGCACTTAAAGTGAATTTCTTTAAGTTTTCAAGGCGACAATTAGAACAGAATAACATCTAGACAGATAAATAAAATTAAAGTATCTGTTTGTAATATTAAAATAACCTCTTATTACTACATGCATGTGAATATATAATATATATATCACACACATACCACAATAACATTTTTTACAATTTCTGTCTGTTTGTATGGTAATCTCTGGAATGGCTAGACCAAGATTTTTATTGGCAGTAAGCTAATGTACTGAGGAGTAACATAGGCTACTTTTATTATGGAAAATGGAAACAAAAGAAAAGTTATGTCCTAAAATTCATATTTTATGCAGACAAAGTAGCAGGCAACAGGTAGTTTTAAATAATAAATATATTTTTTTAATTTTTTTTAAGGGGGGAAAATCATCGAATGACTGCTCCCGCCTGGGTGAGGCGGGAGGGAGTGTCAGACTCTAACTGACTAAAAACCACCCCGTTCCTTCTTCTGCATGTCGAGCCGGAGCCCCGGTTACCCGTTAGGTTCTCCGCGACTAAATAATAACTATATTAGGTAGTTTTCATGGCAAGGAGAAGTTACTTTTTGTGAATGTGTACACTTAAAACAATTTTTAGTATTTTTAGATAAGCTATCAATTAAACATAACATAATAATGTCAGTTATTTGTAAAGATTTGTATCACCTACATAGGTTGTTAATTGTATTTTTTTTATTCATCAGATCGATACATTTTCTTTAAAAAATTAGTGGTTCGTCAATAAGATTATTTTTCAAAAACTTACAAAATAAACGCCAAAGTCGAGTATTTAGGATGTAATGAATCAATGTTTAACAACTAAATGAAAACCTTACCAAATCATTTGCTTCTTCAAAATTTGCCTGAATTTCACGACTGAGCTGGTCACGGTTGTCTGAAAATCATTTTATATCGAGGGGTAACGGACTATTTGGTTTAAGCGACATTTTGGGCGATATTGAGTTATATATATATATATTCGGAATCAGCTAATTTTTCTCCGTCGAATATATATAATAACTCAATATCGCCCAAAATGTCGCCTAAACCAAATAGCCCGTTACCCCTCAGTATGTTTATATACATTATTAAAACTAAATTAATGTTGTAGACATGTTAAGGTAAACTCGTAGACAGGTAAGTCAGAAAAGTAAAGGAAATTATAAAAAAAATCATTAAAATGTACAGATATTTGTTCTTTATGATATTATTATTTGTTTTACACAAACACAAGTGATAAGACATCATTATTAAATAAAAATCTACCTTCGGTTCCAGACTTAAGACGACCTATTTTAGCCGTAATGTCTGCTGTAAGTATAGAGTACTGTTGCTCGTAAGACTGAATTAATGTAGCCATTTTTAATCAGAAGATAACAGGCACAATAATAAAATCAATATAACATTATTCTAATAAAAAACACGTAACATCAAATAAAGCCACAACTGCATTCATCATTGGATTGCAAACTGTCAATGTCAAACAAATGTCATTTTTTAACAACAGTGACACGACCGAAATAATTTTAATTATTGGTAGTTCGATTTATAGTCTTTTGAGATAGTGTGATAGTTCATTACACTTGCCACTTGTCAGTGCCGGTAATTTTAATGCTATGCTGTTTTATTTATGTGCTACTAACTGCAGCGCAATTTGTTACGATTGTAAGTTCGAGTCCAAACCCTTTTGTTGCATAATGTCTTCCTTTTTGACCAATCAATAAACAAAGTATAGTTCAAGTCAACTAGCTAGGCGTCGATTGCATGATGAACAGGTGCTGAATAAACATAGACAAGACAACAACAAGTGTAATTTTCTATTGATCTATTGAATGAACTATACGAATAATTTGAACTGTTGATGTTTCTTCTGAAGTTGTAAAAGTTTCAAATCAAACAAAAATGTTTGAATGTGTGCATTTGTGCACTGTGCAGCAACAATGGTGATGTGATGATTTCTACGGAGGATAAACGAATTACAATGTGGATGTTGTGATTAACTAATTTCTATTATAGCTTATGATTTTATTGTGAGGATTGTGTTTAAAACAAAAGTGAAAGTCGTTAAAGGAATGTAGCTACTAACTTAGCTAGGTACCGCACCTAAAACTTAGACATGTAAGTTAATGTTTTGAAAAGTTTTGACAAGTTTCATTATGTATTACGTTGAGCACTTTAATTTTAACTTTATTATATTTAGTAAGAATTAAAATTAATAGCGATAGCCCACATTGAGAATAACAATAAATCGTAATATAAAATCAATGTTGCGTTTAAAATCTTAGTTGTTTGAACTTTCTTAACTCAACGCGTGGTCCTAGAACTTGAATATTTGAATAGTTTATGTCCGTTTAGTTATGACTATTCAGCAAGCACGTACTTATGTATTTACATGATTCTCAACGTATATAGTCGTTGCTCTTAACGATTTACGTATTACCTATGCAGTAAAAGTAATGAGTGCAATGTTCAGATTGTTTTGAATTAAACATACAAATATTTTTGTTTCAGCACAATGCTCCGCCACTGTGATGAAGATTCTGGCCGCAGCTCCTGCTCTGCGGCTTCAGTGTGCGTCAGCCCAATCATGGAATTCCATAATGATGAAGACATGAATTACGTCAAGAGACGACACAAGACACAAGAGGCTAGCACTAATACAGATTTAAAAGTTAGTAGCCGTCCACGAAGCTGTGTAGGTCTCCTTAAGTCTCCAGATGAAAGAGACCCATTCCCAAGTTGTAGAGTGCCTAGACATCACAGGAAACCAGTGTTTAACTTATTTGACACTCCAAGACTGGGAGGCCTAAGTCATGCACATTCCACTCTAGAAATTGCTTGTAGCACCCAAATCGAAGAACCTAGGATGCAGGCCAATACAGTATCTATGACTGCTATAGCTTTAAATGATAATATAGCAAAACCACCCCAGGGAAATTTTAGAAGAGGAAAACCTGTACAGAGAGCTGCTTCAAGATTATATAAAGCAGAATGTGGTTTCAAAGGCAAAGAAGGTTGCATTGGTCCTGAATTCATTGTTAGAGCTTCACAACCAGTGAAACACATGGATTTAACCATGGCATCACTATCTGATAAGAGAGTTATAACTGTAGTTTTGCTGAATGGGCAAAAAGTGGAAGTTTTGTGTGACCCAAATGTTATAACTGCAGGGCAATTGTTTGAAGCACTGGTTCACAGTGAAAAGTATGAACATAACTTTATGCTTGGCATTGCTGTTTTGATTGGAGGGGACTTTGTCTTTGTTCCTGATGATTACAAAATAAAAAAAGTTGCCCCAGAAGCTTGGCATAAAACCAACAGCAAGAGGAGAATATCTGGAGATGAGAGCACTTTGACTGTCTTCTTAAGAATAAAGTTTTTCTTGCCTAAAAACATTGCCAGCAACATTCAAGGTGGAGAGTGGAGGCACAGAGTATACCTACAACTCAGGAGAGCTACCTTAGAGGGTCAGCTAACTTCTACAATACAGAATCTAATTTTATTAGCAGGCTATGCTTTACATATAGAATTTGGAGAGTTTTCATTCAGAGAACATGGGACAGCAGATTACTTTTTATTAGAACATTACTTGCCTGAAACACTGATAACCAATGACATGGCAGAAATCAAATTGAGGATGAAAAGAGCTCATGAATCTAGACGTGGGATAGATAGACAGAAAGCAATTGTAAATTATATAACACTTGCACAAACTTTTCGTGATTATGGTGCACATTTTTACTCTGCAATTTGGGCCACCAGAGATGGATTTTGTCGAGATGTTTGGCTATCAATTGGCCCTAGAGGCATAACTCTCTACTCAAGAAATAATCATTCAGCTGATGATTTAGGCAACCAAACAAATAGGATTGTATTACAAAGTTTACCTTGGCACCACATACATACATTTTACTATAACAAGAAAAGTTTGTACATCATGCCCAACTCTTACTCAGGATTATCAAAAATTGGTGTGAAATATAAATTGAAAATGTTAGATAACAAAAGTTATTTCACATTTTGGCTAGCCTCTCTCCATCACAGGTTGTATCTGAAACTTTATGCTAAAGAAGACTTCTTCACTTATCTCTCAGACGAACTCAATTGTCCTGTGAATGCATCTGGAAGCCCCAAGAAGTTTGATTGTAGTAATTATCAAGACAGCTACAATTTAGCAGTTAGAAACCCCATAAGAGTAAGAAGACCTACTAGAAGAAGGTTTAAAGTAGACATATTTGGTGAAAAGAAGGTACAGAATAAAGAAAATGAAAAACCTAACACTGAAGAACTTCTTAGACAAATATTATCACCAGTGCCCAGTGAGGAGGTAGCTTCAAACAGTCTTGCCCATGAAAACTCATCAAATGATGGATTGTCCTCTTCAGAAAGTTGTAGTATACCCAGAAGACAAGGCGTTAAAATGGGTACTAGAGTATTCCATGGTATAAAAGCTATTAAAGACGGCAGATATCCTACATCTCCTATAAGAAGCAATCTTTGTTCAAGATCTGAAGGAGACCTAGCTATGACACAGAGTGATTCTGATGATTTGAGTACTGAACAAAGGCAACATTGTGTAATAAACAGCATGCAGTTGTTGCCTGAGAGACATTATAACCAGAATATATCAAATGCTCCAACTGCTTATGTTTTGGAATCTCCTAAAGTATACCCAGATGTTTTTAATTACAATGCTGCAAACAATGAGTCCTGTTTAAATACTTCACTTTTTGAGAAACTTGACAATATGGAATGTGTTCAAGGTGAAAGAATATTTGTGACAGCTGTACTAGAGAGAGATGACATGAATACGCTGGGACTTCAAGTAGCTGAGGGGTCAGATGGTAATGTATACATCAAATCAATAACCCCAGGAAGTCCAGCAGATATGTGCAAGAAACTACTTCCTGGTGACCAAATAATATCAGTAAACGGTAAGACCTTACTGAATGTTAAATATGACAAGGCATTAGCTATGCTGCAGTCAGCTCCACATAAAGTGGAACTTATTGTATTGCAAAATGCTACTAAACCAAACCCACTGGACTATCAGCATAGTATGGACAGTCACTTTACAGACAGTACCAGCAGTAATATAGGAAAAAAATGTATAAGTAATAGTATTGCTAGTGCTTTAGATGTAGAAATAACAGATGATGAATTATTGAATGAAGAAGCTTTGAAAACGATTTATGCTCTCATAAAGTTGACAAAAGAAAAAGTTATAAGTAGAATTAAAGACAAATCAAGCAAGCAATCTACTCCTAACAGAAGTAACCTGCAAAAGTGTGTATCAGAGAATAAAGTTTACGAGGAATCTGATTTAGGAAATTATTCATCTCAAGAAAATACCCCTCAGAAACGAAATGCTCAAAAGTTTAACACATGGCGTGGTCAGTTCCCACAGAATAACAGATTGAAACGACGACCTCTAAGTCTGAGTATTCCTACAGATGTAGATTTGCCAGATGACTATTTAAATGATAACTCAGAAGACCTACTTAAGAAAACGTCATTAAAATCTATTCAGTCCTCTTTGAACAGCTTAGATAAATCTGTAAAGAGCAGTTCATCAAAGAATGTAGCGTTACCACGGAATTTCGGATTTAGCAGAAGATGGTTGGGCCCAGTGAGGTACCCTGTGACTCCCTGTAAGAATAGCAACGTCGAGACTGAGCCAGGTGCAATTGTTAGTGAAAATGTCACGCGAAGACATTTCGTGTATGGTGCTGGAGATTCAGATGAAGATCAAATATTTTTGTAAATTATTATTATATTATACATATTTCAAATAAGAATTATTTTATGTTAAGTTTAAAAGACAAATGTAATAAATGATATTGTAACTGAATGAAAAATGTTTGAATAATAACGAAGGTCGAAGTTGGCGCTAGGTACTTCTTGCGTTATTGGCTGTTGTCTGCTCGGTACATAATTACATATTTACTTGTAGGTGTGGGTAAGTAGGTAGGTACTATTTTTACATTAATTTTTCTATGAGCTTATCTATGAGAGCGTAAAGTTTCGAAAGAAAGTGCGCGTGCATGTACGTTATGTCAATGTACTATTTAGCTACAATTAAAATTCTCAAATATGGAAGTCACGGATCAACTTCTTTTACTCTGTAATAGTTTGTAGTTTACTCATTGACCTAGTAAATACATTGCCTTTTCGTATTAATCAGTTACGTCCGTTACTAATTGATGATTTTATCATTCATAATGATGATGATGGACAATGAACTTAGCAATCGTAAAGCTCTTATCAGAGATAAAAATATGAGCAAAATTATGCCGGCGTTTTTATCGCCTCTAGTTATGTAATATACGCGCCGCTTACTACATGTTGAGTATATGCGGTCGCGTCGAGAATGGCCTGGAATGTTCTAGTTACTACTTAGTAGGTACATCTGAGCACATGGTATCGTTACACAAATGCAGGTCAACAAGAGACCGGTTCTCTAAGAACAACATAAGAAATAATATTATTAGTTGCCCAGCTTGAATGGTAGTTTGTTACTATAATGCCGGGAAATAATTTATCTTTTTTCGTCATAGGAACAAAGTTCAACATTTCAATGAAATTTTGAATGAGTTTAGGAAAGCTTAATTTTCTACATTTAGGTAGGTACTAGTAGAAGTTAAGACAGTAACTGATGTGCTCAGAATATTTAAGAGAAAAAAATATATTTGAATTAATGGGGAAATAAAATACATGTATTAAAAACATTAATTATTTATTTAAAAATAACACTGCTTGCACTATCCAAGCAAATTAAACTAAATAATTCTAACAAGACAGAGAATTGTCTTTCTATATTTTTGTAAATCATCAGACTCAAACATAAAACTGGGAAATACACATTCACTCCACAATTTGTATAAAATCAATCAGACTACAGACAGATATCTTGGCAATACCCATAACAGTGAATAACTACTTGTAACAGTTCTTTACACAATAAATGCATTTCAAGTCCATAGCAGCAGATTACATCATTCCTCCCATGCCACCCATACCACCCATACCTCCCATGCCCGCCATGGGGTTAGGTTCCTTCTCTTGAGGAATTTCACAGATCACTGCTTCAGCGGTGGTGAGGAGAGATGCAACTCCACTGGCATCAGTTAGCGCTGTCCTTACTACCTTTGTGGGGTCAATGATACCCTTCTCAATCATGTTGACATATTCATTGTTCAGGGCATCATACCCAAATTCAGGTCCCAAATCCTCAACCTTAGCAACAACGACAGAGCCATCAATGCCAGCATTGCGCGCGATTGTCATGCACGGCATCCTTAGGGCTTTCTTTACAATCTCAACACCTGTAGCTTGGTCGCTGTTAGCTGTCTTAAGTGAGGCAAGTTCTGGGATGCATCTGAGAAGAGCAGAACCACCTCCAGGTACAATGCCTTCTTCAACTGCAGCCCGGGTGGCATTCAAGGCATCATTGACACGGTCTTTCTTCTCATTCACTTCAACTTCACTGGAGCCACCAACATGCAGTACAGCAACACCAGATGCAAGTCGGGCCAGACGCTCCTGTAATTTTTCTTTTTCATATTCCGAGGTGGTTTCTTGGATTTGGTCACGGATCTGTTCAGCTCTTCTGTCAATGTCAGATTTTTTACCCTTACCTTTAAGGAATAGGGTATCATCTTTAGTAATAACAACCTCGCCCACTTGGCCAAGGTCTGATGGTTGGAGATTTTCTAACTTAATAAGGTTGGCATCATCTCCAAACACTACACCACCAGTGGCAATAGCCATATCACTAAGTGTAGCCTTGCGGTTGTCACCAAAGCCTGGAGCCTTCACAGCTGCCACCTGTAGACCAATCTTTAGCCTGTTGACAACCAATGTGGACAGAGCCTCACCATCAACATCCTCAGCTACAATGACCAGTGGCTTTCTCTGCTGGTTGGCTAGTTCTAGAGCAGGAATGATTGTCTGGACATTGCTAATCTTCTTCTCGGAGAAGAGAACTAAAGCGTCTTGGAACTCGACTTTGGCTCCCTTTGACGAGTTGATGAAATATGGTGAAATATAACCTCTGTCAAACTTCATACCTTCAATAACTTCAAGTTCGTCAACGAGGGTCTTGCCATCCTTGACAGTGATGACGCCATCCCTACCGACCTTCTTCATGGCATCAGCAATGAGCTGCCCAATAGCGGTGTCACCATTGGCGGAAATGGTGGCCACCTGTGCGATCTCCTCGGGTGTTGTGACGGGCTTTGACATAACCTTCAACTTATCTTTGACGGCGTCTACTGCTAGCATGACTCCTCTTCTTATTTCAATAGGGTTGGCACCCTTTGAGATTTTTTCGAAGCCCTCCTTCGCAATAGCTCTGGCGAGAACTGTGGCTGTTGTTGTACCGTCTCCAGCTTCCTCATTTGTGTTGTTTGCCACATTTTGGACTAATTTAGCGCCGATGTTCTGGAACTTGTCTTTGAGTTCGACGCCTTTGGCAACTGTCACACCGTCTTTTGTAATCTTTGGTGAGCCCCAAGACTGTTCTAAAATAACATTTCTACCTTTAGGGCCCATTGTGACTGCAACGGCGTCTGCAAGGATATCGACACCCTGCAACATGAGGGCTCTTACATCAGCGCCGAACCTTACATCTTTGGCGTAAAATCTTGCGAGTTGGTGACTTTTGTGGAATGAAACTGTTTGGCGAACGACACGTGGTAGGCGCAACATTTTTGTGTTGATTGGAATAGTATTACAGTACTTCAAAAAGAAATTCCAACCTTGATTCTCGAAAATTCTCGCCGGGATCGCACAAAAACGTGATCTTCCGCCGGTTGTAGGTTATGAAAGACTAACGCGCGAGCTACCTTCGTACAGAATTAGACAATCTCTATGGTTTTTAGAAGATATTACGATTTTCAGCTGCCTGTATTTTGATGTGTTTCGTCTCTTTTCCTCAAATCAATATACGGCAAAGAAGTATCCGAGCAGAAACGAATAAGCAAGATTCAAGATTGAGCGTCAGCGTCTTCCGAGTCCGTTTCGATTCCGATTGGACATCAACCTTTTTTCTTTTGTTCGTGTTCCCTGCCAATTAAATTATTTGTCTATGGTTTTGATGCTTGGCTTTGGTGGACTTGGTATTTGCTTGGAACTTTCGGCAGTTTTGTTGGATTCAGGATTCTTTATTAATTAATAGTTATATTTAATACTTGGTTTAGGGAACAAAATTTCGTTGGGTACTAATTGTAGACTACATACTAATTGGAATTACATTGGAATTACTTACTACTACTAATGATTTCATTCGCAGAGTGTGACTAGAAGACTGAAATAGAAAATCGATTGACCAAAAGAAAATGCTTTTTGTTAGTAGCAAAGAGTTTAATAAAGTTTAGGGGAAGGAAGTAGTCGAATTTGCGACCACTGAATAATGTCCCAATCATTTTCTCATATGATAATTCTTGGTAATTGATGTCAGTTTTTGACATTTAGGTATTGGCATTCGCAGTTGTCATTCGGTTGGACTTGTGTGCGAGTGGGAGTCTGCGAACACGTTTCGTAAATCGGTATCAACAAAAACATGCGGTAATATCTTTATAAAAGCGAGTCAGTTAGCTGTTCATCACTCACTGGAAAATCGTGTTGAATACCTTGTTTTTAATTAATCAGTGCTATAATATTATACACAATGGAGAGTTACATAATGGAATTATTTAAAGAGTAAGAATTTTTCATCTTATTAATAGCTTCCTCTGACGAGGGCTTGTTTTAATTTGGTTAATTTATTGGAACGGCTCTCCGGTAACATAGTACTTTGCAGAAACTGCGATAAAATGGTTTGGAAAATGTTCGGTTACTGAATTTATTCTACACTATGTTACAAAAATATTTAAGCATTGATTGCATGGTATGTTACTTAGAAAATTATATCCTTAACATGTACGTCTATGTCGTGAGAATTATTTAAATTTTATTACCTGTTGTGGGTGTCTTAGAAACATTTTTAATTTTTTTTCCTGCCTTTTTAACAGTAACATACATTTTGTTTATTAATTTATTAGATACTAACATAGTTATTGAATAGATTTATTAACACTAATTTTGTTTAGATTTATCACCCTGGTTTTTTCATTGTGTTGATTTTCATTAATATTTGTCATAGAATTTTAATTTTAATTTTAACTTGAATTTTATCTTTTTCAATAATATTGTGGGATTCATTAGACAATAGAATCAAACATTAGGTCTCTAGAATTTTTCCCACAGATGTTTTTAGTCACTTATCATCACTTATGTTCATATTATCTTTTGAAAATTAATTCATGATTTGTCTTCAATCATAGATCTGAGCAAGACACAATATATTTTCTTTGTTTACTCAAGATATAAATAATAAAATAATGTAAACTATCCTTTACAAAAAAGTTTATGGAGGTAAGTTATATAGAGTTTAGTCTCAAAATGATACATTCTAATACAGGCTTGAATTATTTAAATTGTTTTTTGTATGTCAACCTTTGGCTTATGGGGGTAGATAGAAAAAAACCGAACATTTAAACTGTCAAATACCAAGCGGTCACCGGTGACCGCAACCTATTGTTCTATAATTGTGTCTGCAAAACCGGTACTCGACGAGTTAATAAATAAAAAAGCCAATAATATTTCTGTTTCAAGAAAAGACATTGGGAAATCTAATTAATTCGAGTTTGATGTCTTTAGTCTCCTGTACTAAAGATAATTTATGACTATGAGTCATTAAGTCTTTGGATATTTTCCAATAAGCTTCTCATAAATAAGACACATCTTCTGTCTTATTAATGAAAATATAATCTTACAATGTAATAAGTACAAATAATAAATAATGCTTGACTTGATGAAAGATAATAATATCTAATTGATGTGGTTGAAATATTAAACTGCTTATATTATGTCATCAGCAGTTAATTTAATATTCACACTGTTATAATATGAAACCTTGAAACTTAGATAAACTTATACTTATACCTACACAGAGTATGAAATATTATGTAAGTATTATACTTAGCAAGTTTATGTGGCACTTAAATTATTTAAACACGTAAGTAATGCTTATAATATGACTGCATCGTTGGTGTGGTGGCTGGGCAACCGGCTGCCGCACAACATGTAATGGGTTCGATCCCCACCCGGAGTGACTGTGTGATCTACATGTTCTCATTCCGGGTCTGAGTCTCAGGTGTATGTGAAATTGTAGTCGTACGTCGTACGTCGTACGTCAGGAGGAAGTCCTAGTGTGGCGCAATGTTTTTTAAATTAATTAATGACATCCAATTTATATCAGTTGTGCTATAAGTTCCTTGTTAAAATGAGTTTTTTACAAAAATCTTAATAATACTTTGTACAACCCGAGAATCGAACTTCACCCCTTGCTTGACAGTCACGCTCGCACTTGCGAGCTTTACCTATAATAAAGTGGAAACTTCAGACGTAATTTTTCTGATTATAAAACCTCTGATCATTGAAGTTATCAGAAAAGCAGTCCTTTTTAATATTTTACTCTTTAGTAATCTTCTTTACTTACCAAAATCTTGAAAAATTATTCATAATATGACAGTATGAAAAAAAAAATGTTACGGCGGCACATGCCCGACTCGCACTCATTGTCATTTCTTTACTCGCACTCGTTCACGACACTGCACCAATGTCGCTTTGACACAATCGAGTCCATCTTGCTATTATTCATCTATGATCTTGTTCTTGTCCAGACATGTGTAGGTAGACGAAAAAAAACCAAGATGGACCAATGTCAAAGTGACATTGGCGCAGTTTCGTGAATCGTAAACGATTGCGAGTGTGAGCATGTACATCGAGCCTAAAACTGGAAAAAAACGAAACGAAAGTATAAATGGTCGAATTTTTATATCTCAAAGACAAAAAAGAATGTATATCCGTCAATATTTGCGATTGACAATCCTTCAATCGATCAAAATTAAAAAGTACAACATGTCGACAGGAAAAAGCAAAATTCGCGTCAAAAATAGCAATTTTTGTTGCAGTGAGGTGACAGAATGCATAGTCGTGGGCATAGGAAACCCACTGCTGGACATATCAGTCATGGTGGACGACGATTTCTTGAAAAAGTATGACCTGAAAGCTAATGACGCCATCATGGCGGACAGTAAACATCTGCCTCTGTACAAAGAAATTACTGAAAAGTAAGTGTCATTATTCTATCGTTAAAAGGTAAATGTGCAGATGCCAGCTCATCAACCTGCTACCTAATTCCCTGAATCGATTTTCAATTTTATTACCAAATAGTAAAATTGAAAATAAAAGATTTTCAAGACACACTTTGAAACGCAGTAAGTTAACCTGCTGGCATCTGTTGTACCCTTGTACCTATTATACAGCTGAGTTTACGGTAATTGTTCTGCCGTGGCTAAATGATTTTGTCTTGGTAGTACAATCGGTATATTGTTAGAATGATATGAATAATTGTGAAAAAATTAACTCGAAATCGACTTCAAACCAATAGTACCTACCATATACGCAATCAGGAGATCTTTGCCCCTAATATTTAGGTTTATGTTTCGAAAGTGCTATTAAAATTAAATCGTTGTGCTGCAGAATAGTGGCTACTTCAAATTGAAGCTTATATGTAGGTAATTTACGTAAGAGCTACACCGTAAGTCATTTTTTATATTGAACAAACTCTCCCGCTTCATTATTTCTCTTAGTTTTACCTTGAAATACAAATTGAATGAACTTAATCCGCAAATTCAGATTTCATTATCTCTTAAACTGTACGAATTCTATAGAGAGATTAGATAATTGAAAGCCTAATTAATGGTCACGACACGGCAGATTATAACGTCTTAATCGCTTGTCCATTGTGTCATCGAGGTTGAGGATCGCAAAATAATTATTATCAAAGGAAACTACAGTACTTAAATACTAACTGATTTTAATTACAACCAATGGCCGATAAGGAGGATTTCGATTCTAAATTTTCTGATTCTTAACTTATGGCTTTAGCAACAGGCGATAAAATGGCTATTCTATGAGCCAAGTAAACATAATCTCCAATTCTTTACATCTAACGTTGTAGATTATGCTTAGTTAATTAACATGTTTTCGGGTTTCTCACGTAATTATTTGCTGCTCATGAATATGAGTCTGTAGCATGACTTGAAACTAATCGAGTTCCTCGTCAAATAATTACGCGAGTAAGCCGAAGAATATATTTTAATTAATTTTGTATGTCTCACAGGTGTGTCTACTATAAGCTTATTTTTCCCTATGCCAGGTACACTCCAGATTACTTAGCTGGAGGCAGTGTCCAGAACTCAACTCGTGTCGCACAATGGATCTTGAAGAAACCCAACGTTTGTTCTTACTTTGGGTGTGTCGGCAATGATGATTTCGCGAGGATATTGAAAGATAAAGCTGAGTAAGTAATCCTATTGATAATGGGTCTTTCAAATAGGACGGGTCGATGTTGATCATCTGTGGTGGCCATTTTGTTTTGGCGGCATCTGTCAAATCTGATTTTTCTTATTCAGCTGCTGATGCCAAATCACCATGGCAAGTTACACGGTTGAGCAGCATGTGCAAATGATAAAACTTTATTTTGAAATTTTATTATTAACTTTATTGCAAACGTTGCGAGCATTGCGCCCATTTTACGGCAAACGCGGTGGTCCTTCAAAGTCTAGGTGAGCGCTACAGATCAATGATAAACAATTTTTTTTGGCTTAAATTTAACAATATGGACGTGAACGACATGTGGTTTCAGCAAGATTGCCCTACTTGCCACACAGCGAACGACACAATCGACATTCTGCATGAACGGTTTGAAGGTAGGGTTATCTCTCGCAGAGGTGACGTGAATTGGCCACCAAGATCGTGTGATTTGACTCCGCTAGACTTTTTCTTGTGGGGTTTTCTGAAGTCGCAAGTCTATGCCAATAAGCCACATTCCACCGTTGCCCTGAAAGCCAACATAACGCAGGCCATAGCCGGATCTATGCAGCAGAGTCATGGAAAATTGGACCTCTCAGATTCGTGCCGCCATACGAAGCCGCGGCGGACATTTAAACGATGTCATATTCCATCCATAATGGCATAAATGGACCTTTCAAATAAAAAATAAAGTTGGTTAATATCTTACACACATCTTGTTTTATTCAATTTTAACATCGACCCGTCCTTGTTGAAAGACCCTTTATTATCGGATATAATATAGGAGGTACTTATGCATGTAGATGTTAATCTTATCTAAAATGAACATCATTCTTTACAATTGTATGAATTGAAAAGTGACTTTTGTGACACGTACCGTATGTACCTCAATGCTATAAAAATATCTATAAGTCACTGTGACTGTAAAGTGTCTAATGGTATGGTATGGGGCTTTTTAAAATATATTTTTGGCTTAAGATTAACATTTCAATGGATTCCCCTATGTTTATCCACGTTTTTACGTTTAGAGATACAATACTCAAATAATGTTCATAAAAAAATCTTTAACAAATGTATCCAAATCATAATTTTGATACATTTGTTAAAAGAACGTCATAACGTTGGTCCGCGTTACACTTTGGTGACCTTAATTTTATTATATGCTATTTTATTTACGTAACAGACCTTTACAGATACAATACTATGTAATATAGAAGTCGTTATTCTGTTGAATAACATGCAATCGACTATCTTGTTTAGTTCGCCTATTCACTTTGACCTGTAACCGAGACCGTGCTTCATGAAAACAAGAGTTGCATGATAATAATTGCAAACGCACGTAGGGATGTCACCATCTTTTATTTTCACTTTTTGTTCAATCTTTTGATATAGCATAACTTAGACACAAACTACAGCTATGCTATTCTGTAACTTTTAATTTGAAAGATCGAAGTGAACTCGATCGCAGTCGTCCATGAGAATAATCTTGACCAATGACTGGCGACAATGCGATCGAGCTCACTTCGAAAGTTTAAATTGTCATTTTATAGAATAGCCTAGCAGAACGCTTATTCATCATCATCATCATCATTAGCTCGTCTCGGTCCACTGCTAGACATAGGCCGCTCCAATAGTACTGCCAGCCTTGCGGATAATTATCGTAACGTCACCTAGCTGGAGCCAAAGCTTACAACGATCCTTATACATACTTCTTTAGCTTCCGTCAGATTCATACGTTTTGTCATACGAGCGCGTCGTTTAAGTCAGTCTTATGTATGACCCCTTTCATCTTATTTAATATTATAAATGTAAAAGTTTCGAGACATTAGTTACTCAATTACGTCACTGCTGAAGGGATCGGGATAAAATATGGAACATGGATAGATTATGGTCTAGAATAATATAGGCTCCTTTTTTATTCCACGGGAACGCGGGCGAAGCCACAGGCAGCAAAAAGTTTAACGAAACTTATCTAGTTTCTTGAAATCCCTTAGCAACATATTTTTAACAATTTATCATTTCCTCACATTACTCAGAGTATGGTACGAGAGTTTCGTAGTATCAGATATTGTCAATCAATAACGACAATATCAATTTCAGGCCTAGTTACCTATTGAGACTTATCATCTCGCTATGATTGTCTAAAATGGCACAAGGCCATTTGCGGCTATTGTTCGTTATAAAACAGCAACTTTTTATGGATGCAAATCCATAAAAAGTTTATTCTTTCATTTTGTCGTCGCAGTGTTTTCTTCGCTCTCAGTTCTTTGGTTCGACAAAAATGAGTTTTCGAAATGTACATACGGCTTAAATGACTGTGCCAATTTTTTTTTTATTATTATTTTTTTAAAAAAAAAACGTTGCTCCACACTAGGATTTTCTCCTGTGTCGTGGGTGCGTTTACAAACATACAAGTTCACATACACATGACATCCAGACCCGGAACAACAATCTGTGAATCACACAAAGAGTTGTTCCGTGCGGGAATCGAACCCGCGACACGTTGCGCGGCAGTCAGTTGCCCAGCCATCGCGCCAACCGTGCAGTCGTTGTAAACCTTTATTTGAAATATTTTAACGTTTAACATAGCCGGGGAAAAGGTAGGTGCCACCCGGATAGTTGAGACGGACCGTTAGTTAATAATGTAAATAAATGTAGATACAAAAGATCCTCGATACGTAACTTACGTATATAGTTTCACAGTGTCTAATTAAATGACGACAGTATGTTAATGATTACAATAGTCTCAATAGAGCTAAGCACGTTTATCTTTGAAATAGTTTGCTAATTACATAGATTATTTGTCATTATCCTGCTAGAGATATTATTAAGTTTTAAAGTCTCGATAAACAGAAGCTGCTTAGTCCTAAGCACGTGTTTTGAAGTAGGTATCGTATAATATAGAATACAATCAGGCGTTACTTAAATCCATACTAAACTCGATAACTTTCGAGCCGCGGGAGGCGCCGAGTCAACAACTCCCTAGGATGCTCCGTAGAGAAGCAAAACATATTACCTACGTCAAATGATTTGTTGCATGTCGTGTGTTTTTTGTGTGGCATCTCTGCTGCATGAGCGTTTATCTGCGGGTGGGAGGGCGGTGCTGCACACTGCATGCTGTAAATTTATTCCTTCAGCGGAATAAAAACTAAATATTTTCCCAGTTGTTAGTGAAAGTTATAATATATTGAAATGTAAATGACGGGCGAACAATAACAATATAGTTCTATTTCGTCATCATAAACAGCCTGCTGCAGTCTACTGACGAACTATCGGACTATCGGCCTCCTCTACACAAGGGAGTTCGCCAGTGTCGTAACTACAGCGTGGTGACGCGGCAAAATTTCACGGATCCCCGGCTAAAAGGGGCCCCGTTCAGAGGTTTCCACTTGAACTTCTCTGTTTTTTATTGGGAACGGGGGCCCGTCCGATGCATTTGCCTTGGACCCCGAACGGTATAGATACACAACTGGAGTTTGCCATAATCTTCACGTATTGTCATTAGATAGACAGCCATTCTAGTAAACGGCTCTGCTAAATGGACACAAACTAATCCCAATGATGAATAAACTTTAGACAGGCAATGAAAAAATAACTTTATAGACATTTATTTAGTACCTATCTTTCTAAATGTAAAATAAATTACGTACCTTCCTACTCAACCTTTATTATAATTAGGTAGGTACTTGACAATAGAATTGTTTTTCATTTATAGTTTTTATATAATTAAAACAAGTTTATTGAATATCACGTTTATTAAGCACAGTGATGTAAGAAAATGGAGTAGACGAGATGTTTAAGTTCCCACCGATAAAGTGTTCACCTCTGTTATCTGGTGGTACGGTTATCATCTTATCTCTCGTGAACAATACTCTGTGTTCATATTGAAATGTTCATTGTAAATACTTAAATAGAATAGCTATAGGTATTTTTATGTTTCTAGAACATTCAGAAACAAATTATCAATTATAATGGAGTTTTGTGGCGGCTAAGAATGAGTATAAAGTGGGTGGTTAGTTGACGAAACTTCGTGGTCTAATCCTGTTAGTGGGGCTTCGGTATTCTATTACAGACTTTTGTAATATTATTTAGCGTTTGTTTTGAGTAGGTAAAATAGGTTTTATTTAGGCTATCTAGTTTTATTATGTAAAAAATAGGCACTAACGATGAAAATCGTTGCTTTAACATGGAAAGATTTACTGATTCACCTGTGGCTTTTCAATTCAACACATTTGAAATGTAACCATATAAAATACAGCCAAAAATAACCAAAAGCGGTTCCTGACTTTAATCAATATTAATACAACAATAACTAAACGCTTTTATAAAGCCACGTACTACATACATATTTGATATTACTCATATCAAACGTTTTAAATTGCCATTTGTAACGTCTTGCGTTTGTAAATTTAATACGTTCATACTTAAATTATATTCACGTGACTGTAAAACCTACCTATAAATTTTATTCAATAAAACTATAATGCAGCATTCAGAAGTACCTAGGTAATAATAAATCTTTCGATCGATTTCGATCATAATGGCCAGTCTGTGTAACTAGACTAGACTAGCCCACTACGTGGGAGTATAGGGATCGTGGGTATGTCCACAAGTGTGGGAGAGCCATGCCTCGGAATGCCGGCTCGACCGGAGTGAAACAAAGCCAACGTGAAGAAACGAATAAATCCCCAACGATCCTCATACTCCTAATCCCCAAAATGCCGGTAACGTACTTGTAACGCCACTGGTGGTCCAGGTGTCCACGGGCGACGCCGATTGTTTACCATCAGGTGATCCGTCTGCTCGTATACCGGCTTATGCCTGCCGGATTACCGCCGTGGGATCTGGAGGCGAAGGTGCTCGCGCGCGTGTACAGCATGCGCGCGGAGGCACGTCGCCGGGGCGAAACCCCGCTGCCGCGCCAGATAAGTGCGTGGCGGGATGAGCTCCGGCGCGATCTCATGGCGGAATGGCAGCAACGACTGTCGCAACCGAGGGCTGGGCTCGCTGCCATCGCAGCGGTAAGTCCCCTCTTTGAGGAGTGGCTTGAGAGACGCTACGGCGTCCTCACCTACCGCCTGACGCAGGTCCTCACCGGACATGGAAGTTTCGGGAGGTACCTGTGTCTGATGGGGCGGGAGGAAACGCCCGGGTGTCATCACTGCGAGGACCGCCCTGAGGACACGGTGGAACACACGGTGGGAGAATGCCCTTCGTGGGCTGAGCACCGCCGTGTCCTCAGGGAAGTGATCGGCGATGGCGACCTCTCGCGTCCGGGCCTAGTGCAGGCCATGATGCGGAGCGAGGGGGATTGGGATGCCGTCTCCTCCTTTTGCGAAGCAGTCATGCTAGCTAAGGAGGAGGCGGGACGCGTGAGGCAGCGAAGCGCTGCCTCCTCGCAACCCAGCCATCGCGAAGGACACACCGGGCGTCGGGGATCGCGGGACGATCTCCGGCCACCGTAAGCGCGGGCCTGCGGACGGCGAGCATGGGTGGCTCCCCGTCCGACCAGAAACAGACCCGAGCGTACGGCGCGTCGCGTTCCGCGCGCGCCTCAAAGAGCCATCAGACCACCACAGATGGGGCCCAATAGGGCCGATGCCGATTCGGAGTCGCGGAGAACCTAACGGGTAACCGGGGCTCCGGCTCGACGTGCAGGAGAAGGAACGGGGTGGTTTTTAGTCAGTAAGAGTCTGACACTCCCTCCCGCCTCACCCAGGCGGGAGCAGTTATTCGATGATTATCCCCCCTTAAAAAAAAAAAAATACCGGCTTATGCCATAAAAAAAAATACATTAAGTAGGTACCTACATAGACACTAACGCTTCAATTACCGTTTGTAATTCTGTACTTAGAACATTCAGGTCACCTACAAGTAGGTAAAGTATGATAGATTCAACTCGGGAAAATGTTCACTCCGCGGTTTTTACAACTTACAGTCAAGAGGATAATTGCTTGGCATTAAATTCTTTCCTAAGATAAGGAAAAAAGGTATAAATATGTAGGTAAATTAATAGATCACTAGAACGTGTCTGCAAGCTACCATGTTAATTTTATATATAAATCTTTTATTTGGATAACAAAATACCTAACCTAAACATTTTTATTAATTAAATTTGCATATTTGGTGCTTCTTCACTTTTTGTATATGCGTTTGCCAGTTGGCATAGGCTTCCTCCAACCTACTCTTATTCTGATCTCTCTCTGGCTATTCTACTCCATGTTTTTCCAGCGACCTGCCTAACATCGTCCCATCTTTTTTTTTAGCAAATTTTTATCAGCATGTTAATTTTAGCAAAGATTTTTAGAATGATAACATGATGACATAAAGACTGGAGAGACTTAGCTGGATTTTATTCATCTCACCACATTTGAAATTCTCTTTAAACAACATGTAACATTAATATTTTTAGTTGGTTGACTTGGTTTTCCTACAAAACAATTTTCCAATTTATTGACTACCTACGCAGGTAGGTACTATACAGTCCAGTCACCTGACGAAAACTAAGTGTTAAGTTAGAGGGATCTCTAACTATATTCTTTTCCTTTCTCTTTCCAGGAATGACGGCGTGAACGTATTATACCAAGTGACGGCGGACAAGCCGACCGGAACGTGTGCCGTCTTGTTGACTGACGGAGGCAACCACCGGTCGCTCTGTGCCAATCTCGCAGCCGCCCAACTCTTCACCGAAGAACACATCCACAAACCAGAGTGCCAGGCCCTCATCGAGAAGGCCAAGCTGATCTATTCTTCGGTGAGAACTGAGAATCTTTAACCTTTAAGGGATGGGTCCAATTATTTTCGCTTCTTAGGATAACTAATTATTAATTTAGGGCCAATTTTTCCAACGCCAGATAGGAAGGAAGCAGTATTTGACAATTCTTCCATAGTAAAAACTGTAAAATGTCATTCTATTCTACTGTTAAAAATTAACTGATGATTGAGAAATCAACCCTTAATAAATTAAGCAGTAAATAGTATTGCTCGATCTGAAACTCTTAGCAGTGACGTACATTTAGTGTCAAATCCATCACTACTGTAAAGTTGTAACTTGAAGATATTATCTCCAGGGTTTCTTCCTAGCGGTGTCACCGGACACCATGATGAGTTTAGCGAAACATGCCAGTGAGAAGAACCAGTTGTTTGCGTTGAATGTGAGCGCGCCCTTCGTGATGGAGTTCTATAAGAAGCAGCTGGAAGATGTGCTGCCCTACGTCGACATCCTGTTCGGTAACGATCTGGTAAGTCACTCAATATTTAGGTGATCTTCGTCGTTATCAACCCGTCCCCGTCCATTGCTGGATATAGTTAATCCTCCAATAGTAAGAAACTAACTCGATCTCCAACTCTTCGCAACCACCTCCGATGAATATGTAGTTAACGAATCACTTGTTTCTATTCCAGGAAGCAGAGGCATACGCGAAATTCTTCGGTCTAAAAGTTAACTCGATCCCAGAGATTGCTCTAGAAATAGCGAAGTACCCCAAAATTAACAAGTCAAGAGCCCGAGTAGTGGTTATCACTCGAGGGTCTGACCCTGTGATCCTTGTGAACGAAGGTAAAATTGAGGAGATCCCTGTGACGCCACTGAAACAGGAACAAATTGTAGATACTAATGGCGCTGGGGATGCGTTTACCGGCGGGTTCATAAGCCAGGTAGTGCAAGGTAGGCCTTTGAGGGAGTGTGTGCAGTGTGCCATGTACGCAGCGTCCCATATCATACAGAACTCTGGCTGCTCGTTCGGAGGCCCTAGCGAATTCAAGTTGGAATCCTAAGACATTAGTTTAAATCAACGGTTCTCAAGCCACATGCATAGTCTGTACCTAAGCTGTTCATGTAACTATTTTATATTTACTGGCTTTTCATTTTTAATAGTAGCACTTGTTTATAATTTGTATAGTAATACAGTGATATGTAGGTACAGTTTATTGTGGATCTCGTTAATTAAGATACAGGCGTTGAGTGAGAAACTTTGTAGATTGTAAATTACTTTCATGTAGGTACACTTGACATGTGTCTCGAGAGCCGGAATCTTAATACTTCCAGTAGATGAATACGGCAATAATGTACATTGTGTAAGTATATAATGGTGACGCACAATATCGTATTTTAATTGTTATGTTTAGAGCTGTATTGTTTTATTTAATACGCTCAGACATGTGCTCGAATATTTAAGGTGTACTATTTGGATTGCAACCTTGAATTTATTTTGGATATCGCTCAACAATTATTACGCTAGATTTAGTTGCCCTTTTTTGCAACGTTAAGATCGTGTAGACTACCTCATTTAAGGTTGTAGTTGCAGATGTGCGCCAAGTACATAATAGGTCGCAGGCCTTAGGTATAAATAGCTAAATGTTTTTTCAAAATAGTATCAGTAAAATGTATAGGAACACAACATACAGATTCCTTGTCCAGTGAAACGATGTGTAATCTATATGATACTAATTAGTATTGAAAACGGGTCAGTGTTTTAGCTCAGTATATGTATCATATGAAACTAACTTTTTTCTCAATTAAAATACAGTTTAAAGTTGCATGGACTAGGTAGGTAATTACAAATTTTATTACCTAATTAACTTTCGAATATAAAATACTTCTTGTCGCTGTATTATCAAACAAGTAAAGTAATAGTATTATTAATAGATCTGATATCACCTTATGTCCAAAACAAAGTGTATAGAGTATTTTGAAGTTACTAAATTTGTGTGCCTTCTTCGTTCCATATGAAATATTGTTGATGAGTCCTGCAAGGTACTGTTGCTAGTTATCAGTAGATAGGATTTCGAAACCAATCTGATTGTTACCTTGTGTGTCATCTTAATAAAAAAATAAAAACAGTTGCTACATAAATTTTTAATCAAATACCTTCAAGGTAAATTAGATCTTACATACTAACACATAATAGATTAAGAAATAATTAGGAACTGTCCTTCCATAAGGCAAGATACAAGTAGTAAAATTTTAGGCACATAAAAAATTTGGTTTTATGACTACTCATTATCATCATTAATGGGTATTATGCAGTCATTTAATGGGTACTTAACACAATCCTTAGCAATTGTTTTTGGAATAAAATCAATACTAAAGAATAGAAGTTAAGTAATCATTAGATGCCTCCGAGTATGGCAGTTAGACATTTATCCTAAGGATAATAATTAATGTCTGCACTAAAACATTCCTATCATTCACACAATCATCAAGTTTAACAACATATAAACAGTACAGACTAATACAATGAAGTCAAAAATAATTAAGACAACCTGTTGCAGTCAGTATTGTTAACGTAAATCAATGACAGTATGAATTCTTAGCTTACTTGAAGAAGGTTGCCAGTATGGGTGGGTTGCTACAGGTACTTTCTTATTAAAACACCATTTATCGTGAACATGTGCATAAGATAATACAGAAATGAACACACACTTTAATTGTAACCGACTCTACTAATATGATAGCTTGTGTCATACTCATTACGGAAGTTACCTTGAATCTTATTACTCAACTATATTTTAATACTTGTAGAATCGGCTAAAGAAAGTCACTATTAATTTCTCATAACATTAATTTTTGGTCTTTATCGTCACACATCGTGTATAAAAAATATACATTTATAAAAATTTTATACAAACTAAATACTTAGTTCAAAACTAAAATATCAACATCAAATGTTTAGTCAAACTCAAAAATAAATAACAGCTAATAATTAGCAATGTGTTTTATGAACACAACAGTGTAATGGACAATATGAATGTTCCAGTCCGGAACAATCTGTTCTTCATTGCCCAGGAGAGGCATACACCTATAAGTCTCCATGAGAATAAATTCCACACTATTTATTTCCTTAGTCAAACTTCTTGAAACCCGATCATGTTTCCTCTCATCGAGACATGATCCTTGTCTGCAGATGACACATCCAGGTCTCAGAATGGTCTTAATTTTTGGTGCCCTGTAAGTTGTACATATAGCAGTTGTGATGTACTTATATTGTATTATTGTTGTCTAATAAATTTTTTTTCTATCATTTGCTGTTTTATTGTTGGTGTTTTGTTTATATGTAAACCTATATTAAACTAGCATGTTTGTAATAGATAAGAAATGATTTGCTACACTACTATATACCCCTAATGATACTCACTAAATCAAAAAGCTTACATGAGCGCAAGAATACACATGCTCAGTTTTGATAAAGATAATAATATTGTACAGAAGCTTGTAAGATTTTGGCAATCGTCAGTATAATAAAAGTAACTTGAGAAACTTACATTCGCCGCCTCCTTCCCCTTCTCCACCATCTCTTTAGAGTCCTTATAGTACTCATGGAACTCCATAAGCGTTGCTTCATAATATTATTTGAATCCATAACAAAAGTTGGTGTCAAATTTCCAAGAATGGTAACTTAAGTTATCGTGGTACACAAATCACATATTTCTACACACCATTAGTGTAATTATAGAACTTGTATTGTGAATTCTTGTATGTGTAAAGACCACTGATATTATGATTTGGTTTGGAAACTTTCATAAGTTAACTATAGAAAGTTTTCCAAAATACCCGCTGACCGCGCGTAATTTTATCGTTTCAGGCAGTGTTGCCTAGTAATAAAAAATGGTTACTTACTTTTCCTTCAACACTCAATTGGCAACATTGATTGCGCTTCAGGTATTACATCGTATGAGGTGAAACTAAGCACAAAGCTCAACCATGATATTCTGGTTTTATTTTTTTACTTATTAGATTAGATTATCTCTGGAAGAACACATCTGGTATAGATCTGAGATGATGTTTCCCTCAGATAATCCCAGTAATAATTCGGATTTCTTCACTAAATATTGTACATTAAATCGAAAAGCCATCATTGTGTTATTCAAATTTTAAACGAATGTTTATGCCATTTATTATATAAAACTTATTTTATAAAAAAAAGTACCTTATTCCAAAATAAACCTTAGTATAAAACAAACTTGTTCGTTTCGTTCAAAACATTTCAAAGAACAATCGAATCAAAACTTGGTCTAGCATAGACAAGATGTAGGATGAAAAGTACCAAAATAATATGATGTAATTCTAATTAAAATGGCAATACATTTGTGACCGACAGGATATCAAAAATATTTTTTAACAAGGCAATCTAATTGATAGCCATTTTGAAGAGCCTTTTGTTGGTGTTTTGTGAATGTTTTCAACAAAATTTTCTATTATTTCTATGATATAAAAGTGTTTTCGAGACGCCAGTCTCGTTATTATAATAAAGAATTGAATCAGAACACTTTATTATAAAGTGTTGTTTGTTTGGTGAACGCGCATTGTGTAAAAAAACCGGAAAGAAGAACTGCCGTATTTAAGATTAGTAAAAAAAAATCTGGTGAAATAGAGACAGTTATTGTGACAGTGGAAATAATTATTTCAACGAATATCGTTAGTGTGATTAGTTAAATTGTTAAATCGGCCGTTATTATTTACATCGCGTGTTTTGTTCGCTACGTAAAATTTAGATCGCCACAAGATGGCGGCCGTCGGATGCTCGCTCCGCCAAAACCCGCTCGCGGGGCCCGATGTGTCATCGGGTTGTGAGAGCTTCGGTGACATGTTGTAAACCGGCGTCTCGCACCGCGGCCGAATTTACCGGCCGCAAACGGCGGGGTTCCATTTCGTAAAATGGAATTTCGCTCGAGGCGCCAAAATGCGATGGGTGTTGACATAAGTGCAATACCGTACCGTTACTCAGGCGGCAGTACGTAAAAACTATTACAAAAATGAGCGAGCCGGACGACGTAGGAAAAGAAGTGTGGAAGCGATGGATACTGGAAGCGATCCACAAGATTCGCTCACAGAAGCAAAGGCCGAGTGTGGAGCGTATCTGTCACGCGATTAGACAGCATCACAACTATCACGAAGATGTGGTAGCGGAGCGGCTGGAGCGCGCAGTGCGAGAGGGAGCCGTGCTCAAGGTGTACAACAAAGGCCAGAGCTCGTACAAGGATCCCGGCGGCGTCCAGAACAAGCTTCTACGAATCACACAAGATGTGGACCTTTCTAGGGTCGTTGCAAAGGCAGTGCGTGAGTTAGGTGAACGTGACGGTTCTACGTTAAAGACAATTGAAAGACATTTAAACCAAGCATACCAAGTGACTGTGGAAAATGAAGTGGATGTGCGTGCAGTGTTGAGAGCTGCCGTGAAGCGTGCCGTGGCGCGAGGGCTGCTCTCTCACCAGGCGGGGGCCTACAAGGCGACAGAGAGGCCCCTCACCACATCCTCAGATAGAAGCTCCAAGCAGCGTTCTAAGAGTAGTCAAGAATCCCCAGAGAAGGTGAGTTTTGTTGAATGAAATATTGTTTTGTTTACTTATCAGTGCAATACATAGTATGGCAGGAAAGCTTTTACATAATGGATTTGATAACTGTGTTTGTAAACAAAACAAAGAAAATGCTATTTCATTCATTTGCAATTATTTTAAAGTCTATATCTATTCATTTTTGATTGATTGTATATTCAGTATGTTGTAATGAGTGATGCATTCTTTGTTTTTATATCTTTTTTATTTATGAAATCTTGTAGTATTAGACATTTATTATACTTTAGTTATAAGTGAAAGCAAAGCTGATAAAATTATTTGTGCGGTCATTGAATTTTTATATTTTTTGCTTATCTATTTATTAAGTTCTTTCAGATTGAAACTACATGAAAGGAAAATTTTAATTTTAATTTCATATACCTAATTCTTTTAGAAATGTTATTAAGTGATAAATGTTGTTGATCACATTGGTTTTGTTAATGATCCTAACTTGTACAAATAAGTAAAACTTGTGAAGATATCTTACAAACAGTTGACTACAATAATAAGGTTGTCGACCTGGCTATTAGCGTTCAAGGCCAATGTGCCTCATTTGAGACAAAAAATGTGCCAGCCTCACAATGCCTTAATATAATGTTGAACATTTTATTGATATTATCACTTACAATATTTTTCCAAGGAGGCTGTAGTTTTTTACCCCATTCAGTAATAATTTTTAAAGTTTCCATTTACAAAGAGAAAGTTCTGTACTTATTTATAAGAGGATCTTCTTATTGATATACTTTTATAACATTGTGTTCTAATGAATTGTAATCATAATTTATGTTATGGATAGATAATGAAATAATTTTAAAAGAACCAACCACAGGTCAATTTTAAAATATAACAAATTAATGTTAACAGAAATAAAATTAAATTAGTATTTATTAGGAGTGTTTTTTTTGCTACAGATTTAAAGATTACTCAGTTTTCTGACTGTACTCGCTATTAGTCATTTTCTGATGAACTTGATAAAAATGTGGTCAGATGATTCAGTGGGGCTTGTTAATATTATTGTTCACTTGTATAGTTTTTAGAAGACATGATTATACAATACTCTAACATAAATAAACCCATTCATCAATTCTTATAAGAAGTTCTTAAAAAATTATAAGAAACTAGTTTGCTACCTCTTTGTTCTCATACTTAGTTCAATGTAAGTACATTTTGAGATACAATGAATCTCATCTTTGCAAAGATAAATACCTATTTATGTTGACCTATTTTCTATATTAAAAAAATTACCATAATGCAGGGGCCTTTACATCCCCACTGACCTTTTCAATAGCTATTATTAGTTAACATCAAAGACATTCAACCCCACTTAATGGCGAAAGTAGGTTTGAATACTATGAATAGAAATTGTGTTGAATTGATCATTTTGTAGTCTATGTAACTAGTAAATTGTATTGTGAACCTGATTGAAAAAGAGTAACCTATGGAGTTTCTTGCTCGTTCTTCTCCATAGGAATCTACACCTTGGAATGAGCAAATAGCTTCACTTTTAATATTAATTTTATTTTGACGTTCAAAAGTGCCATTCTGGCCTAATTGAAATAAATGATTTTGACTTTGACTTTTCTGTAAATAATAAAGATTTTTTTTTATGTATGTACAACACTTAAGGATTTGTAATAAAACAGAAATGTCATGGATAACTTCATAAATGATTAGCATATAACAATAGTCTATCAGACGGTGTGGAAATCGATCACAATTTATGGGCTATTATGGTAAATTACATTGTTTAACAGTATAGTCAAATATATTTATGTAAGATGCAGAGTCTGTATGTAAACATATTTATTTCCATAGTATTAGAAAATAGCAAAAATACTGTACTAACTACTCTACTATTGATATTGTATTTCTATACAATCTCTTGTGATGCCTACTTTTGTGGCTAATATCTATAGCATTGACTTAGAGCATGAATATTTTGATGTGGTGCCTCAAGAACAATATGCCTAAGTAGTTATTGAAAAATTATGAGTACTGTGATGTGTAATTATACTTTACTAGTCTGAAATTTACAAAAATTGTTCCAGAAACCGAATCCAAGTGGTCCAGTGCCATCGTGTACTGAATGCCTCGGTACTGAGGCTAGAAATAGGCTGGGGGCAGCTGAGGCTCTCATATGCTGCCAACAGTGCAAGTCCTATGCTCATCCGACATGCCTCAACTTACTCGAACATGTTACACTTCCTGTTATTAAGGTACTACTTATTCACTCTAGATGTAAATGAATAACAGATGGTTAATCTTCTAAGAATAATTTACTTCTTGTATATATCCATTCCTTTCGATCGTGCATACAAGTATGTTTGTGCGTGCAGTCGGTGCGCTGGTCGTGCGGGGCGTGTGCGTGGTGCGAGGTGTGCGCGGCGCGCGGCGCCTGGGCGGGGCGCTGCGCGCACTGCGCCCGCGCCGCGCACCCCGCCTGCGCCGCCCCGCCCTGGCGCTGCGACTCCTGCGCGCGCCCGCCGCCGCCCGCCGCTCCAGCCGGCTCCAAGCGGTGAGATGACACCCGTGTCCCTGTGTCACTGTGTCTCTGCCGTTTTGCCGTGCACTCACCCGCCACTGTCCCCGCAGGTCGACGGCAGCAGGGACTCCACGCGGCAGGAAGCCGCGCACGCCGGCGCGCCAACCTGACTCCGACGACGAGCCCTCCGATGGTAACGCACCGCCGCGGCCTCCGCGCCCCCCGACCGAACAGAGAATGTCGAGAGAGAAGCAGAAATTTTTCAGATTTTCCGCGTTCAATCTGGTGAAGCGGCGCCGGCGCCGCTCGTCGTCGGGCTCGTGGGAGGGGTGGGGCGGCGTCCGCGTCACGCGCGTGCAGCGCCTCGAGCTGCGCCTGGAGCGCCGCGAGCCCGCGCCGCGCGCGCCCAGCCCGCCCCTCTCCGCCCGCTCCGCCCGCTCCACGCGCTCCACTCGCTCCACCCGCTCCACCCGCTCCACGCCGTCGCCAGCCTCGTTAGCCTCGCCCCCCGAGCCGGACTCGGCCGCGTCAGGCTCGGATTCGGTCGGTTCCCCCGCGTCTTCCAGTGATAGTGATGAACGACCCGCGCCCGCGTATGTTTCTACTGTGTTCGAACGTTTAGCAGCTGATTCCGGCCCGGGTGGTGTTTGGGGATTCGCTGCTGAAGCGCAGAAACAGAAGCAGTTAGAAGTGGAACCACCGAACCATAAGAGATTAGATATTGAAGCGCAAAAACTAAAAATACTTGAAATGGAACCCCACGAGCAGCGACGAAGTGATTTTGAACCGCGCAAACAAAAAAGGCTCGAACTCGAAACGCCTAAATTTAAAAGGCTGGATGTGGAGTCGAAGCTCAGTCGGTTAGAATCAGAAACCAAACTAAGGAGAGTCGAGCCCGAACCGATACCAAAAAGAGTAGAATCGATACAAAAAAGAATGGAGCCCGAGCCACCGCCGACCGAGCCAGAGAGACATCATATAGTTCGTCGGCGCAGCAGATGCGGGGAAAGACTGCTGACTACATTATTCGATGGATTATCGGAATTCTACTCAGTCCGCACGGCATCTCGGTCGCAGTCGCGGCCGCGGCAGGCCCGCGTAGAGCAGCCTGAGCCCGAGGAGGATCGCGCCGTGTTGAAGGAGACGCGCAGCACGTTCCGAAAGTACCAAGCGTCTCTGCGTCGCGCGCGCAGTCGTAGTCGAGGAGACGAGGCGTCACCGGAGCCTGAGGCCCAAGCCTCGATAGTGCGGGCGGTGTCACGATGTAGGACAGGGCGGGTAGAGCTAGGCTTGGTCCGCCTGTCGGCGTCGGCGCTGGTGCGCACGGCGGCGGCGCAGAAGGCGCGCGCGGGGCCCGCGGACGCGCACAAACTGGTCCGCGGGCTGGCGGAGGCGGGCGGCGCGCGCCCGGCCACCGATCAGACGGGTAAGATCGGTTCGTGAGGTGCGGTGAAAGTGTCGTGGTGGATCTGACCGTCCCGCTCGCTCTGATTGCTGGCCGGCGCGCGTCGTAACGTTGTTTCTCTTCCGAATTCTCTGTTCGGGACGGGTGAGTGAGCCGCGCGCTCTTCTCTTAGCTTCTCCGTTCGGACGCCGAGCGCCGGTGACAAAACATTTGTTACTCGGGTTTCGGCAGTATCCACACATGCACTTTCGCTCGCGCCTCTGCAGGCGTGAAGGTCGGAGCTCCGAGCACTTGCACGGCCGCCCGCGCCGGCTAAGTGCGGGTACTCGGTGTCGCTTATAAGTACATGCCGCATTCCCTGTTTTATTTTTCTTTTTTTTTTTGTTTCGGTTTGGGGTATATTATCTCTCTTGGGGCCATTTTATTGCCTTATATAATTTGTATTTTAATCACCAGGTATATATATTTTCTGACTTTATGAGTTTAATGTATTTTTTTTTTGTTTATTTTCTTATTGGCGCTTTTGCAAGCCGTTCCGTTAACAACACTTGATCAAAAATGATCACTGTGTGATTGTATTTACAGAGGGAAAGCGGTTACCGGCCGGAGTGACGGAGAGTGACGCGGAGCTGTTTAACGCGGCGCTGAGCGCGGCCGCGGGCGGCACTCAGGGGCCTGCCGGGGCTGTGGCCGGAGTCGCAGGAGCCACGCCGGGGCCCGCGCTGGTGGCCGCGCCGGGCCCCGCGGCCGGACCCGCGCCCGGCGCTGGGGACGGGGTGGCCCCGCACGCACCGCCGCGGTGTCCGTCGGCGATAGAATTCGGCCAGTGGGAGATTGACACCTGGTACTCCAGCCCCTTCCCACAGGAATATGCTAGGTAAGCCATTTTGTAATCAGCGAATATTTTTGATATATTGCTGTTTGCACTGCTCTCAAGTTGCAACCCGTGACTATTTTTAAACAATTTTGTTTTCGTTCCAGACTACCCAAGCTGTTTTTGTGTGAGTTTTGTCTCAAGTATGCGAAGAGTCGGGCGGTGCTGTTTCGCCATCTGGATAAATGTCTTTGGCGACATCCGCCTGCCACAGAAATATACCGCTGCGGGGATATATCGGTCTTCGAAGTAGATGGGAATGCTAATAAAATCTACTGTCAAAATCTTTGTCTCCTCGCCAAACTGTTCCTCGACCACAAAACTCTGTACTATGATGTGGAGCCATTCCTATTCTATGTACTAACCAAAAATGACAGCAAAGGTTGTCACCTCGTTGGGTACTTCTCCAAAGAAAAACATTGTCAACAGAAATATAATGTCTCGTGTATCATGACAATGCCACAATACCAGAGGCAAGGCTACGGGAGGTTTCTCATCCATTTCAGTGAGTGGTGGAATCTTTATTACACTTTCTATCAAAGAATATATTATATTTGTTTTACCTATTTACACAATGATCAAGTTTTAAAATGTGTTTTGTTTCTCCACAGGTTATTTACTTTCAAAAGAAGAAGGACAACCTGGCACGCCGGAGAAGCCTTTATCTGATCTTGGTCGAGTTTCATATCATGCATATTGGAAGTCCGTAATACTCGAATATTTGTATGACCACAAGGATAAACCGTTCACGTTTGAAGACATCGCTCAAACGACGGGAATGCACATGAATGACATTGCAGTAACGTTTCAGTTACTTGGATTTGTTAGACATATTCCTAATGAAGAGACAACCAAGTTAGGTCTTTGCATAGATTGGACCAAAGTTGACAATCACATGAACAAAGTGAAGAGCAAACCTCGACTGGAGATTGATCCTGAATGTCTCAGGTGGACTCCACTCCTTGCGCCTACTGTGAATCCGTTTAGATCCCCCGAAGAAGCTTCTGGCGACCAAGATACTGAGAACGACGAAGCAGAATGTAAGACTGAGAGTGAAGACACCGCCACAGAATCCGAAGCTCCTGCGCCCAAAGAAGAACCTGCCGTCAAAGAAGACATGGAAACACCAGAACCTCCTGTTGAAGTGACGTCATCAGGTAGAAGACGGACAAGACCTCTAAAGTATAGCGAAACTACGTATCAAACCACTCCAGTTCTTACAGAAGGTACTCGTAAACGGAAGCGGGAAGTAAGTAGAAAGATTTCGGAATCCAATTTGGATGACGAAAAAATTAAAGAAGAAGAAACACCTCGAAGACAGAGAAGTAAGAGCGTCGCCAGAAGGTCGTCTAGAGTTACACAGAATGAGGCTGTAGAGGAGCCAGTGACACCAAGAAATAGAAGACAAAGCATCAAAGAAGCACCTTACGCATCTGACAGCCAAGAAAGTCAAGAGAGTATGGACTTGGATGCCATCACTCCTGCCGCGGTGCCTGTCAGGCCCAAGGCTAAAAGAAAAATTGGTTGCAAAGGACGCCAGAAGAAACGACAGAAAGTTAACAAGAATACAGCGCCCAACGCATCACCGGCAGCTAAGAAACCGAAACTTGATGAGTCTAAAGAGAAAGTTAATGATTATAAAACTGACGACTCCATGGAGCCTTCTAGTACAGTGCCCGACGAGGACACCGTCACTCCTCCTAAGGACAAACAAGATGAGAAATCACAAGAGAAAAATAAAAATTCAGAAGCAAGTTCTGAAGACTCTTCTGGTGAAGCTGATGACGAGATGGATGTGGAGGAAGGTGAAGAAAGAAAGGTAGTCACTAGTAAACCAGCGTCGCCTCGACACTTAGAAGAAAACAGCACTGACCATCACACAAGTGATATGGAACTAGACAGCATACATATGGACTCACCGAAATCAATCGCTGAGAAAGATCAAGTTATCAATGAGGCTAGTTATAAACCAGACGATGCGGCTACCGACAGTAGAACGGACGCATCGCCAGCCAAACCTGAGGAGGAGACTAATACAAAGAATGATGAAACTGATGAGAACAAATTGTCTGAACCTAAAAACGGTGAAATGAAGTCTCCTGCTAAACCGGCGCTGGAAGACAAGGAAACTATTATTATATCCGAATCTGACGATAACAACAGCCAGAGTTGTCCTTTACCATCACCTAAAAATAATACAGTAGCTCCAGTGCAGCAAAACAATGAGAATAAACCTAAAGAGGTCGAGGAGAAGGACAGTCCCTCTAAAGTGATACCAGTAGTTTCCACCGAGAATGCGCACATTGTGCTCGACCCCAGTGCTAGGGTACAAGAAGACGTGATCTCCATCAAACCTGCAGTGGACCTAATTGTACCAAAAATATGTCAAATAGTGAGCATTGAAACTATAGTCGTTGGAGAGTCTGATACCGCAAATTCTCCACGGACGGGCATGTCACCCGAGAAAACTGATACAACAGTGATTAATGAGTCTCCCAAACCTAGAAGATCACCAGACAGTATTAATGCCGACGTAGTTAGTGAACAAAAGCAATGCGAGATGCGGAAAGAAACAGTGATTCAACATCAAAATATAGAAGATCCTAAAAATACGGAGAAAAAGTCGTCACCGAATAAAGTAGATACAATTCAAAATTTAGATAATACACATAGGGATATATCAAGTATGAAGAAGCCAGACCCCATCAAAATAGATAGTTTTCCTGAAATTGATAATAGGAATAAATTACCAAATCCAATAGTTAGTAGAGAAAGTGAGATGCCATTTCGGAACGATATAATGAGTACTAGGAAAGACGAGATTATTATCACTAGAAATGTTATTGAACAGACGACAATGCAGAATTTTCAAAATCCTGTGAGTAATTCCATGACAATCCAGCAAATTAACACGGCTCAGCATTCTTACCTGAATCATAGAGCTAATGTCAGCAAAGAATCGCAAGCTGTACAGACTGATAAAATACTTGTGAAATCTAGTGAACAAAATCGCGCAATAAACAGCACTTTGGACTCTTCCCCAGTGATTAGTAAAAGTACGACAAAGTTAGAAGTACCGCATCCAATATCGTCTCCAGTGATAAACCCAGTGATACCCAAAGTGCCCAATGTATCAGATATGAATTTTTTACCTCGATGCCAAAGCGCTAATGCGGCTATTAGTATGGGTTTGGAAAGAGCAGATTTAGAAGCAAGTTTCGCTAATAGTGCTGCTATTCAAAATTCATTGACCGGGTCTATGAGTATAGCCCAAACAAATTCTCAAGACTGTAAGAATGATCCTAATCTAAAACCTAGAGAGAAAAGTAAACTACGTGACGTGCGAGTGAACTCTGCACACAGCAAGCTGGAGAAGACGGACAAGAAAGCTAAGAATGACACGCCTAGGAGTACGCCTGAACCGAAGATGTTTTTTCCAGAACAAAATGTTAACTCCAGGAAACCAGAGACGTCGGTCCCTATAAACGTGATCAATTCGGTGCCAGTCACAAGCAAAGTCGAAACTAAAACCAATGAAGCACCAAAAAAGCAAGATTTTTTTAAGAAAGAGAAATCTAATACCAAGTGTGACTCAAAAAACCAATCAGTGAAACATGACAAAAGTTGCACAGCTCAGCTCAACTTGAAAGCTGATCAGAACGACTTGAACAAAATGCTGCCCAAGTTTAAGTATGATAATGAATTAGTGCCTAAAGCAGACTATGCTATGAACCAAATACCTAATTACCACACCACGCACGGACAGTACCAGTGGCCGCCCTGGGATCCTACTAGGATACAGGGCACTTGGGAACATAACAGATTTTTAGATAATATGAAAAATATAGTTAGCGAAAAGAATTACTTGGATAAACACCAAGGTTTCAACCTCCCCCATTTAGATCAAGTTCAGAAGTCCCCTCAAAAATTACTTCCTAAATATGATCAGAAAGATTTCCACAATATAGCTTACGGTGCATTAAGCAGTAGTCTGTATGCTACCACGGGTTTGCCGCATTTTAAAGAGACCAAGACGCCGACTTCCAAAGCGGAATGTTCACAGAAAAATGAATGTAAACCATCGAAACAGTCGAAAACAACGACTGCTTGTCAAACGCAGTGCGAGCCGAAGAAGTCACAGTCTCAGAACGCTGCTGACCAGATGAAACAAATGATGCAGAGACAAGTGAGCAAACAGCAAGACGTGGTCACTAGTTGTGCGGAGTACAGGCAGCAGAGCTCGCAAGTGTTGACTTCTCCCGGCTGTAAGAGTTTCAATCAAAACGGGCCTTGTGGACAAGAAAAGGAGATTGAAAAGAAGTCACGGCAGAAGAAGGAAGAGTCTCCGAAGGAAAGTAACAAGGAGGAGTTGTGCGAAGCGGTCAGTCCCGCTTTGCAGTCGATGGGGGTGTACACTCCGGACTCCACCAGCAACTCCGTGCACTCCGTACAGTACCCCGCCTGCGAGCTGGACGTCAGTCAGCTGGGGCTGGAGTCGCCCACCAGTATCGGCTCGGACCTGGCCTCACCGTGCTCCATGATGCACATGCACCCCGCGCCCAGTCCGCAGTACTCCTCCATACACATCCCGTCCATCATGAGCCAGCCTAATCAGCCGCCCAAGCAGCAAAAAATTAACAACAGGAATAGGTAAGGGTCGATTATTCCACGAGTGTAATAGAATTGTAAATCGATAGGGATGTGAAATGAACAGATTAATTTGACACTCGACAGGAGCAGCGGTGCCAGCAGTAGCAGCGGCGGCGCGGGCGGCGACGCGGCCAAGCAGGCGGCCGCCGCGCCCGGCCTGCGCGCCGCGCCCACCCCGCCCGCCAGGCACCGCGCCACGCCGCCCGCGCACCAGCACGGTCAGTACCGCCCATCTACACCGACCTACCCATTCTATCAAACATTGAAAACGTTTCATTATTATCTTATTGTTTGGACTCCATTTTGAAATCAATTTATTTGATGTTTTATTTTATTTTGTGATATTAAACGATTCGTTCTTGCTATGATAAATGTAGCGAGTTTTTTGGACGCAGCGGCGGGCGGCGCGGTGATGCAGGGCGGCGCGGGCGGCGGCTACCAGGGCGGCTACCTGTCCTTCCAGCAGCAACAGCAGTACCACGGCGGGGGCTGGCCGCCGTCCTGCTCGCTGGCCAAGCTGCAGCAGATGGCCGACGCGCCGCAGCACCACCCGCCGCACCAGGTGATACACTCGCGCGACCTGCACCCTACTTCTATGCTTTCGAGTTATCTCTGTATTCTTTGGAGTGTCAACCCACTGATAAACTTGGTGACCGCGTGATCCTAAGCTGAATGTCTATATTTTACATAAAGTGATCTGCATTGCTTCACGAATTTGATTACAAAATCTACAAAATTATAATTTCAATAATTTGTTGCTATAACTAGAATAAAATATATCTTTTTACTGTATGGTAACGAAACTTACGAAGAGGTCCAAATGAAACACTTCTTTGTAACTACATAAAATTGTGGTAAGGCCATGTAAGGTTTTGAAGTCTGAAAATACGTAGTAATAACATCAAACTGATCCTTCCATGGAACTGTACATGATGTGTGTTACTGCGACATTTTCATGACACATGTTTGTGGTCTTTCAGTATTTCGAATCTAGTTGTTTCCTACAGTACGGGCAGCAGTCCAGCACGCCGCCGGCCGCCCCGGCGCCGCACTACCACGCCGCCGCCAAGTACTACCCGCCCCACAACCAACTCGACTCGCCCAGGAACACACGGAACACCTCCAGTCAGTATTCTATTCTAACGTTTCACTCTCCCGTAGCATGGTTCCACAGTTGGTGCGCTCTGTAGTCACCATCTTCTAAGAACATGCAACAGTAATATACGTAGCATCTGTCACGATGTCTTCTCGAATAGAAGATTGTCTTCGTGTGCCACTTATGACATTTCATTCACATTATAAGTCGCATGCGGCAGGCGATATAGTATAGCACGATAGTAATCGGTGGGTGCGTTGCAGGCAACCTGAGCCCGATGCAGCACATGCAGATGGCGCCGGGCGCGCGCATGTCGCCCAACCTCAACACGCACATCATCAGCGGCTACGGCCTCAACGGGTACCGCGTGCCGCCGCAGCAGCAGTTCAACAACCTGCAGATGATGAACGTGCAGGGCGGCGTGCAGTACGGCGCCGCCGACCCGCGCGCCCAGCAGGGCAACGTCTACTACGGGTACATCAACCCGCCGCCGCCGCTCGCCATGCAGACGCTCAACTCCACCATGCGCCGGTAGCACGGCCGCCGCCGTGTCGGACGATGCGACCCTCTTGTCTTTAAGTATAGCATAGTACAAATAGACGTTTGCTTTCTCGCGATAAGTGCTAGTTTGTATATAAAGTTAATCGAGATGAACATGAACATCGCTTCTGTTGCCTTACCCCCCGGCCCGCGGCGGTCTCGTGGCAGCTCTGTTATTGTTTTTGTATCATATGTATGTAAATCACGTTTTGTTTGTCGTTGATAAAGTGCAGTACCCGGTGAACTGAATAAAAGTACAAAATTGCAGATAAAATGTATTTAAATCTGTCTATAATAATAATGACTACGTCACTGAACTGTAGCATAATGATAGTGCAATAAATGTATGTACTCTGGTAGTAATCTGCTTCGTTTTGTATGACGAGTGGCGCGTGTGTGACGCGTCTGATCTATAAATTAATATATTCTCGATTTCCAAAGAAACAATGTAAATGTTAAGTCTTTGGTTATGTTGAAATAAGTGCAATGTTTTTACTGATGGCAGATTGTACTACAGATGTAAAGATTGTTTGGAGCTCGTATTTTATATGTATATGGTGTTTACGTTTTGATGTATTTGTATCGTGTCGCGACAGCGTAGGTCGCTTGTACAGTTGCCGTTGTGTAATTATAATTTTACATAGGAGCCTAGTTTGTCTGAATCTGTTCTAAGTGCCTCTCACGTCCCGTCTGTCTGCTTGACTTCAGTGTAACATATTGTAATGTAAGAAGGCTGTATACATATAGAGCTGATAATTTTAGAGTACTTGTAAGATACGGTTTCCTTTGTTCAATGTGATAGTGCGCTGACTAGAGTCGTGGAGGAGCGCGGGGCCGCCCTGTGCGCGGCGCGTGGTTACTTACGTAAGCAGGCCTAATGGAATGAAGGATTTTTATATTTTATATTATTTTTACACAGGTAGTTTTAACGTTTTATAATTGCGATGATAACTTTGTTTTACCGCTTCGCTTAAGGATTATGTTCGTGTTATCCCAGTAATTTATTGCCAAATGTTATTAACACTTACGGTTACTATAGTTACAATGTTAAGTATTTTAGTTGTCGTGTTTAGTTTCGTCCTCTTGCACGAGTAGGTAAGGATCGTCCGCGCGGCGCGGCGGCGGCTGTCGCCCGCCCGCCCTAAGTTATTTGTAAGATCTGCTCCTCTAAGGTTATGAATGTTATTTGTTACTAATGTGTAGTATATAAAATATTGTAAATACAATAACAGTAAGGAACATGTAGCAGGTGTTATCACACAAAATATAATTTTGTGAAAACGCTGTTGTTTTATTTATCTTCCAGTAGTCCACTACCTTCAAGTAACTAGTTTCAATGGCCTATCTGACGATGATAGGTGATTGACATAAGATAGTATAAAGCTGGTGTGTTTGAAGTTTGCTTCTTACAATTTTCTGGGGAAATAACAGGGAAATGTCAATAAGAACTTTTAGTTTATTTCACAAAATTTAAAACCAAATATATTAATAAAACAATGTTACGCAACAAAAATATATTCTACAAACAGGTATACACAACATTAATTTACATCTATTTAGGTACATTCACTTAACAATATTTTATGAAAATTGTGTATGGCCACAAAACACCCATCCACTAATTATAAGACAAACATACAATGGAAGATCTTTATAGTAGTCTAGATTTAAATTAAAACAGTCAACAACACAAATTATGAAACGCATATTTCAATCATTGGGTGTAGGAAAATAATAAGTATTTCTTACAATACATACCTACATAGTATTTAGGTACATTATTTATTATTTGGTCCTAAAAGTAAACAAAGTATCAACAATTTACTAATTATAATGGCGAAAATAATCTAAAATAAAATAATAAAAAATAAACATTATTCTAAAATCAATTTATAATATATCTTTGTACAATGTACATCTGTGTCAATTCAGCATCAGATACGCGCCTGATGTGTGTCGTTGCATTATCTGCTAGTGTAGTGATTTTATTTATGGTAATACCATTTATCAGCAATAGTTTTTATTTATGCAATACACTTCCTCTCTTAAAAATATTAAAATTGAATGACTAAACCTACATTATTAACAACTAGATCCCGCGTGGTTTCATTAGCCGCTCGGTTCGGATAAATGGACTATCTAACACAAAAATAATTATTAAATTTTGACTGCACGGTTGGTGCGATCGCTGGGCAACGTGTCGCTGGTTCGATTCCCGCACGGAGCAACTCATTGTGTGATCCACAAATCGTTGCTTCGAGTCTGGGTGTTATGCGTATGTGAACTTGTATGTTTGCAAATGTGTAACCACGACACAGGAGAAAATACTAGTGTGGGGCAACGTTTTAAAAAAAGAAAGAACTAGAAAAGATAAGTATCTATGGAGTAGTATGAAGTACCTCAGTAAGAATGTACTAATAAAGTGATGAACGGCACTTTATTCTTTGAAAATCGTTACTTTAAAGTTAAAGTATTTTACTGCAATATCATGCAATGTAACACAGCCCAGTACTTAATCGATAACATAGGATTTTCGAAGCAATGTCTAATTATCCCAAGTCGGGATTCCAAAATCAAATATTGCACACATTACAACGTCAAAAATAATCACAGACACATTTTACCTACCCTCTAATGAGAAGAGTAACAACCACAAAAATTCTAATTAAAATCGCTGAACACACAAATTAACGATCTTATTCCCATTAATTTAAGGTTGATATTACAGTTGGATAGTTTTTACAGCTATAAAATTATTTATACATTTATAATATCAAATTAATATGGTCAAATATCAACAAAATACTAGTTTCATGGTGAAATTCATCAGCTACAGAGTCCTAAATATTGGCACATTTGAAATTAGACCTTAAATATACAACATACAAAGTTTAGTTATTAAAAACATAAGTTAATATTATCTATAATTTAAATATTATGTACAATAATATCAGAATATTTAACATTAAGAGAGCCACCTCACACTTATATTCAAACAGCTTTTTTAAAACTAATTTAAAATTCAATGCGAAAAAGAAATGTTCTGAAAATGACCACAATTTTACTTCTTTCTACTTACAGTAGCTATGGGCCAACTGTGAGGCTAATAAATGTTCTGCTTCCTACAAACTATAATACTAACCACAAATTATTTATCAAAATTATCACATTACCATGAAATATTGTGCAAATTGAATAATACTCAGACATTCACTTTCATTTAAATATACCTAAAAATAATATCGTAACACAGCTTTAAGATTCTCATATTTTATAATATTAAGACTACACGAGACCAAAACAATTTATAGGCGACACACTCATTTCATAGATTGTACATACACGGTGAAATTGTTCATGAATAATATTTTTTTTAATTTAATGGGAAGACAGTCTCATTTCCTACTAGAACTACTAATTATGAAAAAAGGTCCTCACCAGTTCTTCAACAATTTTTTTTAAAAGAATACTACACAACATGGAATAATAATAATAATGTAACAACCTTTCCATCAAACCTGGACGTAGATGGGCACAGGGACAGGTTCCACAGGCTTGCGGTCCAGATGCACCCTGTTCCTCATCAGCTTCAGGCTGTTCTCCGTCACCTTCATACATCCTCGGACTAGTAGACCTTCCAGATTCGCACTATGATTGGCCAAGGCCCTGTAATGAAGATAGCATGGTTAACTTAGAGTTAAAACATTTGAGGGTACCTGTTTAATTCCCTACTGACTTAGCACCAAGCAAAGCAACTAGCATTTTTTTTAAGGGGGGAAATCATCTAATGACTTCTACCACCTTGGGTTAGGCGAAAGGGAGTGTGAGACTCTTACTAACTAAAAACCACTCCGTTCCTACTCATGCAGTTCGAGTTAAAACCTCTTAGCTGCCCTAGTAACGTTACAATAGGTTAGGTTAGCGACGCTGACACCACTACTGAGTAGGTAATACTTTCTTTCATGTGGTCCGGATCAAGAATTTCCCCAGAGTTGTAAGGCTTGTTCTAATAAAAATATTTTAAAATAATTATTATTTTGATGATTTAAATCATTTGATCCTCTTAGTTGTTTTCTTTGACATAAGTTTCATTTGAAAATACCTATAACTTCTATTTTTTTTAAATTTCCTGGACTATATTTCGTCTTCTGCGGACCATATTTCATCTTCTGCGGACCACTGGTTAGGAAGCACTGCTGTATTGCTACTCTTTTTTTTTAATCAATTTCTCAAATTGCGTATTGCATTATTTATCAAATTGAAACATTGACACAGATTGCTGGTACTTTTAATTGAATTTGTTCATACAATGTAATATGTATTGTTCTCTTATTGTGTTTGTGTAAAGGAAAATAGTTGGATAGGACTGAAAATACCTACCAACGTTATCTAGTGCTAGGCAAACTACACACTGCTTTATTAGTGGTTGTACACTTGTTTTACAATTCAGAATATCAACAGAAATCATGTTCCTACTGTAAAATAAAGATACCCAGTACTTTTAGCTTATTGTTGATTAAAATAGTATTGTTAGAAATCAGAAGCAGGTTGAATTTTTTAAAAAGGACAATTTATTACCTTAAAACTAGAATTAAAATTATTACACAATTATCCAAAAATTAATGACACAATCATCAAAAATAACAAATTCTTAAATAAACAAAATGAAAACAATCTACCCTCGCTAAATACACAAAATTACAAAACAAAACCTGAATGTATGTTGCACGACGGATGGTGACCGAATAGGGGCAAGGCGCCGGTATTCCACCGCTTATATAGTAACTGTCATCCTAACCCCACTCTTAACCTAAGTAATATCTAACAGTATATATATTTATTATTATTTATATTTTCTAAATTGGTGAGGAACTACAATTTGCAACAAATCAAAACAACTATTTCCTACATTCAGAAGATTCCAGTAGCTGATACGATATGTGCCTACAATATTATTATTATTAGTATTAGTAGCAGTCAGTTGTCTTTAGCACGATAACAAGGTCAAAATTATGAACAATTTATTTATTTATTTGCTTAAGTTACAAATATATAATAGTCTAGTACTTCGCAGGTTTATGATTCTAAGGACTTTAAATATTTATAACTTAAGGAGATTAAACAATTTTCAAATATGAATACTCACCTGACACCTTTGTCTGAGACTTCTGTGCATCCACTGAGGTTCAAAAGCTTCAAAGAGGTGCTGTACTTAGACAGTGCATACAAGCACTTATCAGAAACTTGCTTATTACCCTCCAAGTTGAAGGTCTTCAGGTGGCGGAACTTCTTCACGAATATTAATATGCAGCTCTCTGAGATGGTGACGCAGTATGACAAGTCTACGTCCTCCAACATACACTGATGGAGTGCTAGGGCTTCAACAGCTCCAGTAGTCAACCATGCACATCGTGCAAGTTTTAACGTTTGCAAGTTATTACAATATAAGATTACTGGCTGCAGACATTTCGCAGATAAGTTTTTACACTGGCTCAAGTTTAAAGTAACTAATTTCTGATTTCTCATTAACATTGGAATTAAATCATTGTCTGTTATAGACATACATCGACTTAAGTTCAACACTGTCAGTCTACCGCATGTTAGTGCGAGCACCTGAAATAAACATTTGATAAATTATTTGCTAGGCGACGCTTACATTCGTTTTTTATCTAATTACGATTTTGCATGAGGTTTTTATTGCAACAAGTATACTACGGCCTAAAATTTAGTATAATAATCTGATACAAAACAGTACAATGATTCCTTCAGTGCGGCCACATACAATCAGTATAAACTGGTTACAGTTTAGCCTACCCTTATATTTAAGCATTAAATTATCAAGTAATACAGCATTTTAATCCGATTTTATAATGCTTTAACACTTGGATTGGATCACTTACACTAAACGTGTGAGGCGAAAATCCCTTGTTCATCAATTTCAATGATTTTAGCTTCGCAAAGTACATATTTATAATTTGCAAGCAGGTTTTAGATACACAGCGAAAATTAAAACAATCTCTTAAACTTAGATTTGGTATAACTTTTGTAACTAATATATCTTCCCAATACAAATCAAATAGCTGTGTATTTCTCTTCATATTTATTTTGATTTATTCTAATTTTCATGGAAAAACATTTTGGAACAAATCCAATCAAATCGTCCTTCAATGTCTTCATGTTGACATAAGTAAATTGGTTTGTTTATGATTTCCAGCATTTTATTACCCTGTCCTTTATTTTCTTTTTGTGATAAACAGAGATAGATATAACACATTTTGGGCAAAACCAAATGCTAACAATGTAAAACTAATTGTTTGGAACGTAACATAAAGAAAATGACATTCCAGTTACGTTTAGATTTTACTATTCTATTTATTATGTATACAATTAATATTAACTATTACTAAATGAAAATATATACAACTTAAAATATAAATAACTATGAACTAAAATATTTACACCTTAAAAAAAATAATAAATAAATACGCCATAATAAGGCATCAAAAAAAAAAAATTTTCCTCATCATTATCGTGAGGTAGGGTGCCCAAAAGACTGGTAGCATTACCACGTTGAATGGCAATGCTTAACCTCTGTCCAAGGTAGAAGCCAGCCCTTCGATCACCTGAAGTGTCAACCATCCTCCTTACAATATCTTTGTAAAGAAGATGTGCACTTGGGCCCCACGGCCTTAAAGTTTCAATCCCAAACGGTTCGAAAGCATAATTGCCAATCAGGCTATCATACTTTCGCCGTTTGAGGTTCTCGGCAGCAGCAGCGGCAGCACCGGCTCGACACGCTGAGTTTGGAAGATGGGATGCGCCAGAGTATTAACGCAAGTGGCGTCCCATACTAAAGGCCTACCCATCTTCCAAGGGAATAATGACATACCGTCGGGTCTCTTGCCATCGTTGCGTACCAAGCCATTAGGTTCTAAAGTAGCTGGCACGCCAACGGAGACAAGAGCTCGACGAATTATGTCATTAATACTCGCGTGTCGAGCAAAACGACCCGCACTACGGCTACACGACAAGCCGTGGTGTCCAAGGCTGTTGACATCTTCACCACAACGACAACGATGAGGTGAACAAAATGAAGCCCCAAGCCTTAAACAAATTGCAGCGCGGAATGTGGTGTCGTCCAACAAAGTACCTAAGTTGGACGAAGGCAAAGCAAGAAGCCATAACCCTGACTCCCACTCACCCACAGCCAAAAGGCGAGCTCGCTCTGCAGTTGAACAAGCGGAGTTCAATAGATTTTCGCTCACTTTCCTGCAGAGCGGCTCGTCCCATTGTCTCTGGGAGAGTGATTTGACGGGGGGG